GTAAGGAATTATTATTATTATTATTATTATTATTATTATTATTATTATTATTAAGAGAGTAGCAAATTTGAGTGTATCGTTGCCTTTTTTTTTTACAAATTCGAAGCATTTTTCAAAATATATGTCAAAATAAGATTTGTCACCAAAAGTCATTCTGCTAGCTGAAACAGAAAAAGTTATGACCAAATTGAAACAAAAAATCACCCCAGAGTGGATGAAAACATTCCGAACAGCACATAAGGGTTAATGCTTTCTTTGTTGTTGATGTTGATGTAAAATTAATTATCATTCTCATAAAAATATGCATCAGCTATCTGCTTTCAGTCTTACACAATGTTTATTTCATGTACAAAACTGGACTCGACAACAATATGAGTGTTTTTTCTATTTACAAATGAGAACAGCTACTCTAAAAATAGCATTACTATTTTGTTGTTGTATTTACTGTAAAATAATTATCATTCTTATAAAAAAGTATGTATCAGCTATCTGACTTTTTTTTACAGAACGTCTTGATTGTACACTGTTCATGTCATGTAAAAAAACTAGACTCTACAAAGCTGAGAGAGCCAATATGAGTATTTTTTCTATTTAAAAATGAGACCAGATACTCTAAAATGCTAGTTTTATAATTGTTTTTGGTTTATGTTGTTGCATTTATTGTGGAATATTTATCATTCACTTTAAAATATGCATCAGCTATCTGCTTTTAGTCTGCAACAATGTTTATGTACAAAACTGGACTCGACAAAGCTGAGAGAGCCAATGAGTGTTTTTTTCTATTTAAAAATGAGACCAGACGCTCTAAAATGCTAGTTTTATAACTATTTTTGGTTAATGTTGTTGTATTTATTGTGGAATAATTATCATTCACTTAGAAATACACATCAGCTATCTGCTTTCAGTCTTCAAAAATGTTTATTTAATGTTCAAAACTGGACACGACATAGCCGAGAGAGCCAATATGAGTGTTTTTTTTATTTAAAAATGAGACCAGGTACTCTTAAAAATGCTATATATATTTTTTTTTGGCTGATGTTGTAGTATTTATTGTGAAATTAATTATCAATCACTTGAAAAAATGCATCAGCTATCTGAATTTTTTTTCCCTACAGCACGTCTTATTTATTTAATGTAAAAAACGAACAGGAAGGGAAAAGCAATTTGAGCCGCATGCATATCTATAGCCAATTAAATATGAATAAGACATTTAAAAATCCTGCTTTCCTGTCTTTTTCCTATAAATCTTGTTTAAACATGCACACACAGAAACACACACCTCACAACCATAACATCCTAGTGTTTTGACCCGAGAAGCACAGCAACAAGTTTGAGGAATTCTGCTTTCAACCACCGTAGCAGCAGCAGCAGCATATTTTCCACATTATTTTGGGAGGTAATCCCAGCATTGTGTGCTTGAGTGTACACACCATCAGCACTCCTGCAGCGCTCAATGCTCTCAGCTAATTCCCTCACATTAGCCTCAATCATCGTCCATCACTTCAGCCACACCGCGCGGGCTCTGTGTTGACAGCGACCTCAGGGATTCACGGAGAACAGATGCCAGAGGAAGAGCAGAGGCGTCCCGAAACCCATCAGGCCAGAACACCACACGCAAAAAACCACAAACTTATCCTGAACTCATCGCAAACAAGTCTCAACTGAGGCTTACGAGGCGTCCAAAGGCTTAAGGGAATAAAGCGCATTGTTTGACAGAGGTGTGCACAACCACAGGAGTGAGCATCAATTTGCTGTCGCCATGGTTGGAATAATAGCAGACATTCCACTATGCAAAAATGCATTTCCAGGATTTTTTTTTTTTTTTTTGTTCAGCTCAATTTTTTTTATTAAACTATTTACATTTTCAACATACAAAATTACTAGACATCCTGTGAATTTTTTATTATTTTATTCTATTAACAAATGAACATAACTTTATGTTATTTAATCATCATTTTGTGCAAAAAAAAAAATCTTTAAGTATTTATTTATTTACCTTTATTTAGTTATTCATTCAATTATTCATTCATTCATTCATTTTCTTTTCGGCTTAGTCCTTTTATTAATTAGGGGTCTCAACAGCAGAAGAAACCCCCAACTTATCCAGCATATGTTTTATGCAGTGGATGCCCTTCCAGCTGCAACCCATCACTGGGAAACATCCATATATACTCATTCACAAACATACACTATAGACAATTTTATCTTACCCACTTCACCTGTACCGCATGTCATTGGACTTGTGGGGGAAACCGGAGCACCCGGAACATGGGGAGAACATGCAAACTCTACACAGAAATGCCAACTGACCCAGCCGGGGCTTGAACCAGCGATCTTCTTGTTGTGGGGCGATGGTGCTACTCTCTGCGCCACCATGACGCCCCCCATCAGATTATTTATTATACAATGTAGAAAATGCCCATTTTGGACTCAGATCAAAGTTGTTTTGTAGGCTGTGCCTTTAAATGCAAATGAGCTGGAGTTCCCAAACCATTATTCACACTTTATTACCTGTATTATTGGGCTGGGCTGGATGGTAAACTAACTTCTGGGAATATATTGATATGATTCTCCAACGAGACACGGTATTATACAATATCGTTCATATCAATATGGTTTGAGGCCACACAAGCACATTCTGTGTGAAACAGATTACTCGACTGTAGCCGGTAAGCTATCATTGAATGATTCACTCCATGAGTCATACAAAAGATTTGTTCAAAATAAACGAACCGCTCAAGAACGACCCATCGCTGACGTGACATGGAGGAACATGCAGAATCTGACTCCCTGACAGTTCTGACTCTACCTCGCGTGCACGCGCGTCACATAGCACCTGCAGCTGTAACAGCGGTCTACCAGAAACCTTTTACCGACCATTTCATCCGCAATTGACAGCCAGAACGAACATAGAAGCCATGTCAAATTGACAAGCAGCACCTGAATGTGTTCAAAAGAATTAAAAAACTTCAAAATGAGAGGAATATACCGCATTTCGAAAGTGAAACCACCTCATTTTAACTGATTATAAGTTCAGGATTTATTACACGTCGGTCTCTTCTTTACATTTACGTTATACTGTTTACATTTATATGCTTAACCAGCATTTCATCACAGCATTCTGAAAAATTTAGTTATTTCTCATATCTCTAGTCTATCTCCCTATTTAATATTTAGTAAAAACAAGTTTAGTCAAAACAAAACAAAGTGTTTTTTTTACATGTAGTGAAAGACTTCTCTTTAGATATATGTGCACTGTTTGATAATTGTGCACAATACATGTAAATGTGTAACTAAAAAACATACACAGCTGGTTTAATTGTTGTTTATAGATCACACAACTGTGCCATACAGGATTACTTGTAACAACACTGTAATTGTGACATAAAATACTGTGCGTTTCATCTTTACATTTAATGTTGGTCCTTTCTATCCTTCAATACTTCTTGTTGTGTTACTATTTACTGTAAGTGTGTAAATTATTTGCTCTGACAATGTAGCTATGTTTTCTATGGTTCTGCTTACTTTGTTATTTGCACAACAGGACAGTAATACTGTGTATAGAGTTAAGCAGGAAACAAATCTGTACTGTATTTATCAAAGATTTTGTTTATGATTTGAAATGTTGTGAAACAGTTTTAAGCAGGAGAAAACCCTGTACTGTGTTCATTTATCAAAGATTTTGTGCAGCTGTTATTTTTTGTGCAGCTGTTTGTTTGTAAACAGGGAGAAAAACCCCTGTGTTTGAATTATATTATGCTCAATAGCTGTTTAAATTTTTTTTATTAAAGGTTTTAACTCTCAAGTAACCATGTATGGGAAAATACCGGATATACAGTTGAAGTCAGAATTATTAGCCCCCCTGAATTATTAGCGCCCCTGTTTATTTTTTTTCCCCAATTTCTGATCTGTTCTGGGAAGATTGTTTCAGCACATTTCTAGCATAATAGTTTTAATAACTCATTTCTAATAACTGATTTATTTTATCTTTTCCATGATGACAGTAAATAATATTTGACTAGATATTTTTCAAGACACTTCTATACAGCTTAAAGTGACATTAAAAGGTTTAACTAGGTTAATAAGGTAAACTAGGCAGGTTAGGGTAATTAGTCAAGTTATTGTATAATGATGGTTTGTTCTGTAGATTATCGGAAAAAAAAAATTAGCTTAAAGGGGCTAATGATTTTGTCCCAAAAATGTTTTTAAAAAAATTAATAACTGCTTTTATTCTAGCCGAAATAAAACAAATAAGACTTTCTCCAGAAGAAAAAATATCATCAGACATACTGTGAAAATTTCATTGCTGTGAAAAAAATAATTTGGGAAATATTTAAAAAAGAAAATAAAAATTAAAAGGGGGCTATTATTTCTGACTTAAACTGTATATTGTATATTTTCATTCCTCCTAAAAATACCGGGATATGATTTTTTTGGCCATATCGCCCAGCCCTACTGCATTACTATCAGATAAACAACAGTCAGTGACAGAAACCGACTGGAATGAAGCAGACATCCAGTTTATGAGTCAAAAATACTAAGTAAAATTATTTGATGTACTTGTATTTTGTGGATTTTATTCAAGCCTTTCTGAAATGATCAACAAATAGTCCCACACATCTTTTAACCGCAGTTTCTTACTCATCTTATCTATGTGACTTATCTTACATCTTGTAAAGGAGGTCAAATGGGAGCAAATATAATATGGGTAACAATTAAAAATGTATTTATTATAAAATCTGAATGCAGAAATATTCATTTGTGATGCAAATTCGTGCAAATTAAACTGCAAAAATAAAAATTTCCAATCTCTTCCGCTTACATATTGATTTCTCAACAGCTTGGCTCTCGTGAATGAGGGTTAACTAAACTCCATAGCAATAATTTGTTGGGTCAGATATGCTTTTTCAGCAACTAGAAACCTTCAGACTTGCCAGGGAAATAAAAAAAACAGCATATGGAGAAGAAAATGTGTGGAAATACATGTTTGCGACACTTACCAGGGAGGTCAGAGAAGAGCAGTATGCACTCGTTGAAGCCGTTGGCCAGCAGACGGTCTCTCAGCTGCTGTAAGATGGCTACACCAATGCAGAAGGGGAACGAGGAGTTTCCCAAGAGCAGAGTGTCCCACAGGTGGAAGATCTTGTGCAGGGGAAACACGTCTGCCAAGGAAATGAGACAAGAAATGACTTCCTGCGGATGCAGTGTGAGGCTTTGCACTGCAACAGCTGCACATAAACAGACGATCTGCATCCAAACTGGAAACTGGAATTGGAAACATCCATGTTTACAGGCAGTTAAAGATGACTTTAATTACATTATTTAGGATAATAATAATAATAATAATAATAAAAATAATTAAAATTATTATTATTGTTAATATTATTATAAATATAGCTGCAAGCAACAATTACGGGGCCAAGCAGTTCAGAGCCAGAATGAGCACATTTGTCGATGTCGTAAACAAAAAACGTTTCGTCTATTGACAGAATTTTTGCACCAATTGGTCAACATGGTCTGACGATGATTCGAGTCAAATTTGGTAATATTTCGGTAAATGGTCGAAAAGGAGTTTGCAAATTATATTTTTGAATAAAATCAAAATGGCGGACAGAAAGTTTAGCCAAATATGCTATATCTGGTATCAGTGTTCTCGGCATGACCCAAGAATTAAGTTGAGATGAACTTCACCACAATAAACATATGCAGTCTAAAGTTATTAGCACATTTTTAATTCATTATTGATGGTTAGAAAACCAAGATGGTTTATAACTCGTGACCACTAGGTGGCCAAATTTATGTATTGGGGTTACTGTAAGTTGCCAATGACACACCTTAAGTTCATTGTCAATCCAGTATGTTGAAGCATTGCAGCATTGCTTGAGTCGCAGCCTCAGATGAACTTTGACAACCTGCTAGCATATTTGTTGATGCCGTAAACGATAACTATTTCGCTATTCGATATGATTTACATAAATCTTGGTCAGCATGGTCTGAAGATGATCAGAGTCTAATTTAGTGAAAATTGCGGTCAAGGACGAGTTCACAAAAAAAGTTTTTTGAAAAAAGTCAATATGGCGGACAGGAGGTTTGTCCAAATATGGCATGTTTGGTATCAATGTTCTCGGCGTGACCCAAGGAATGTTTTATCACAATAAACCTATGCAATCAACATTTATTAACCATTTTGGAATAATCAATTCAGTATTATGAGCAAAATTATTAATACTAAAATAAATATTAATATTCCTTAATTTTATTATTATTATTATTATTATTATTATTATTATTATGTGTACCAAAACACTGCACCATTACAGTAGTTTTGATGATTTTTTAGCACTTACTAGCTGTTATTAATTTATTATTATGTATTATTATAAAAATCTGTGCTAATTGTTTATTATTATGCATCTATCAACATTAAAAGAACACAATCAGAACATTTAAAATTATACATAATAAATATGTAAATATGCTTTATGAAACAATGCAGAATTAGTAAATAAAGGCTTATCAGCTTTGGAAATGTCAATGTCTAAACAGTGTAAATTGCAATACATATATTACATTATTAGTTAGTTTAATTCTGAAAGACATTTAATATTATTATGATTAAAAAATATTAATAATACTAAAACAACAAACAAAGAGCAATAATAAAAATAGCATAGAAGGAAAAAGGAAGGTATTATTATCCTCAACATCATCCAGAAATCTAGTCAGCACGACTTATTACTTACGTGTGAACATTGTAAGAAACCATGGGATTGCGTAGAGCTGAAAGAAAAAGAGACAAAGAAAGTTCACTGTCGTGCACAAAAAAAAGCCATTTCCACATGAGCAACAATGTGATTAATACATGAATAAACAGCACGGGCTCTTTCATAATTCCCAATAAAGCAGCTCAGCGATTGTTCAATTCATCAGAGGGAAGTGTACTTGTGATTCAGGCGTGTGTGTTTGTGAGCCGAGAGGACGTGTGTGGGAGTGTAATGAACGTCTCCCTGCAGCACCTGTTCCAACACTCCTCTTTCCCCACATGGTTCTGCTCGGCTGGGATGTATAATCCATTTTGGCCGCTTGATTGGTGGTTTGGCCTCTGAGGGCTTTTTTTGGGCTGAAATGAGAGGACAGGCTTGGGTCTCTCCTGCTCAGGGCTGCGTTTCAAAAAACCATCGTAGTCAGATCTTATTCACACAAGACATGAATTTAATTTAAAAAAAAGAGTAAATAGTAGTACTTCTACTAAATAGTGGACGAGAAGAAGCTTCGTTGACAGGATCATATTTATATAATAAAGCATACAAACTCTAGTGGTCTAGAAGTCTGCTACTACGAGTTTTATTTATAAATTTTTTGTATGATAAGCTATATTATTTATTTTGTTTGGGAACTCAAACTGAATTTTCATTGGATGGAGGATTTGAAGTCTTGTTTGTCCGCCCGCTTATGTTTTCAGTGATATTTTGCAACCACAGCAAACTGCCTTAGTTAAAAATAATATCAGAATTTAAAATAGCTGTTTTGGATATTTCAGCATTAATAGCTACGTTTCTAGCCACCTATTTTATGCACATTTTGGATTTTCACATAAAAATCTGGTTGATGAAAATGCCAAGATGCGCATACATTTTAAAAATGCACCAAAAAAAAAAAAAACGTATGCGCAATACTGAGTAGGATAAACGTTTTATTCGATAAGAAAAGATGCGCATAAACTGCGATGGAAACACTTTTACCAAACAAATTCCAGCATGTGCATTAAAAAAGGTCATGTGATTTTGTTGTAAGAGATCATGTGATGATATAAAATATGTGCGAATGGACAAACCAGCAGAATGAGCACATTGTTAACCATCTGAAATGTTGTTTTGGTCATAGTAAAACGCCTTACCGTTTAAGTATTAGTGTCATTATATTAGGGTGATGCAGTAGGTAGTGCTGTCACCTCACAGCAAGAAGGTCGCTGGTTCGAGCCTCGGCTCAGTTGGCGTTTCTTTGTGGTGTTTGCATGTTCGCCCTGCATTTGTGTGGGTTTCTTCCGGGTGCTCCAGTTTCCCCCACAGTCCAAAGACATGCGGTACAGGTGAATTGGGTAGGTTAAATTGTCTGTAGTGTATGAGTGTGTGTGTGGATGTTTCCCAGAGATCCTATAATAGTCTGTTCATTAGACCAGAACAAAGCCGGTCTATTGTCCAGCGCAGAGCGCGTTAGTTCTGTGGCTCGCTTACACACTGCTTAATACACACAAGATGTAGAGCGATATGCAAATATCTTTACATATGAAAAAGAATTAAAATATTAGGGATATATAGGATATAAATATAAAGGATTAAAATATTACAAAGCATATTATTTTCTAGCCTACATAAATTTAAAAACCAGACTTTCATGCCTTCTTCATCTCAGTAGGCTTTTTGAGCTTATTCATAACAATTTGCTTTTGTATAATGTTATTATTATTAGCAGTGTAATTTATTATATGCATATTTATATTTGTTTTATTAAAAACAAGCTTAGATTTGCCCACCTGTCAGGTTTTAGACCATATGGGGCACAGCATGTGTATTTGGTTATAATTCTTTTTTTTAACCACACTTTGTTATTATTGTTCATTTATTCATTTGCTGGAAATTAGAACTGAATTTAGAGATAGTTTTGAAACAAATCTTTGCGCTTAACAAACAAAATTATTTATTTATAGGCTAATTGATGTCTGTGCGTACAAGAAGTTTCCCTATCCACGAGAGTGAAAGTGAAAGTAGATAATGAGAAGGCTCATCTCTCATTCTCGCGTTGCAGATGCTCTGTTTAACTGTTTTCTCTCTAGTGAAGCGTTCAGTTTTTCCACAAAGTCGCCATGTAAATAGCAAATGCACCATGGCATGACGCAACTATCTCTTAAAGGGAATGGGAGATGAGACTCTGATTGATTTATTCTTAAAACACGCCTATAACTCATTAATAGAATAAGCTCAACCCTGTAAGACCATGCGCCAAAATAGAGCCCCTAATGTTTACATTTGTAATATTTATAATATTTGCTAATTAATAACCTCATGTGGAACTCTGAATCTGTGTCTCATTTCGGAGTCTGTTACTGTCTACCAAAGATCCCATTTAAGTCATGGACCCATACTTTGAGAGTCTTCATGACTAAATGAATGAAATACGCAGTTTTCCAACAAGGAAACCTGGGGTGCTGAAATATAATTGGCTAAACTGGCACTGGGCAGGTTAAAGGGACCCAAACAAAGACAGACATTCAGGCAAGTAACTCAAATTTTCAAAGCAGAATATCTGACTTCAGCTTTGCTTTTCAGACAAACAAGAATGTTCACTTAGCATATTTCCTAAATATCAGCAAACATATTATGGTAGTTTTATGCTTTAGAAGAGTCAAATACTTACATACATCACCTTAAATGTTACTTTTTAACAGTTTGATGCTTCCTTGCTAAATGAAAATATTTAATTCCTCAAATACATCATGACAAACATCACCCAAAATTACAATTGCAACTTTTAATGGGAAATTCAATTGCTTTAAAAGCAAAGCCTTATGAAAAGCTGTTAGTTTTGGCAAAAAACAGGCCTATTCAACATAATCTGAATGCCAAGATGAAGCAGGACACAAAACTAGGTCACTTTGCTGTGAATTTAAGGCCCTATTCTGCCAAATATAATAGTGCTCATGCAGACCTCACTGAGCCGAGCCAAATCCTGGACTCACATCAGCCAAGACGTTTTCGTGCCTCCTAGACAGCTTGATAATAACAAAATAAGTCAAGTCAAGATCAAATATTATCCCTGCTAAAGTGAAAAACGACCATCAGTATTCCCCAAAAATAATAAGGAAATAAAAACTTTTAAAATGTTATGCGTTTAAAAAAAACAAAAACAATAATGAACACTTTTTTTTTTTACAAAGTAATGATTAAGTTGGGTGGCATGGATGCTCAGTGGTTAGCACTGTTTCCTCACAGCAAGAAGGTCGCTGGTTCGAGTCCCGGCTGAACTAGTTGGCATTTCTGTAAGGAGTTAGCATGTTCCCACACAGTCCAAACACATTCGCTATACAGTAGGTCAGGGGTGTCAAACGTATGGGCACCGCATCAGGCCAGCAAATGACTTTAATCCGGCCCGCGAGATGATTCTGTAAAGTATAAAAATGAGCAGCGATTTTTCAATAAAAGAAACTACTGTTCCCATTGTGTCCACTGGATACAATATCCAATAGCAACTGCAAACTGTTCATTTCATTCGATCCAGAAGCCTGAATCAGTGTGACAATTTGACAGCCTTTTCAGATTTTTTACGTTTTGTCAGTTTAGTGAAGGGTGTCCAAACTCAGTCCTGGAGGGCCGGTGTCCTGCATAATTTAGTACCAACCCCAATTAAACACACCTGAACCAGCTAATCAAGCTCTTTATCCGCTTGTTAAGTGGTGACGTGTTGGTGACGTATGTATACTGTTTCTGGGTCCAAGCCGCCATTCATTTGAGTGAAGAAAACATTCGTTTATGATCACGTTTTATTCCTATCACACATTAAAGTTAATTTTATATAAAATCGTAATGTACACAACAATCTCTGGGCTTGCTGCATAACAAATACCAAAAATTTAACAATTTATAAAAAAAATTGATCACTTTCTGGCCATCGGATATTAGGCATGGACATATATACTTCGATCGTGATTTTCGAAAGCATTTAATCGCTTTGTAAACGTTTATTATTACCATTTCATGAGTCACGTGACGTCACACTTAACAAGCGGATAGGTACAGTTGAAGTCAGAATTATTAGCCTCCCTGAATGATTAGCCCCCTGTTTATTTTTTCCCCAATATTTGTTTATCAGAGAAAAGATTTGGTCAACACATTTCTAAACATAAGCTTGAGTTTTAAGGACTCAATTCTAATAACTGGTTTATTTCATCTTTGCCATGATGACCGTAAATAATATTTGACTAAATATTTTTCAAGACACAAGTATTTAGTGACATTTAAAGGCTTAACTAGGTTAATTAGGTTAACTAGAAAAGATAGAAACTTCCAGGGAGGTGTGTTGAAAGAAGTTGGAGCTAAACTATGCAGGACACCGGCCCTCCAGAACCGAGTTTGGACAACCCTGGCTCAATGGCTAATTCGTAAAAGTTTTGTCATACAAAAATGTGTGATTTTAGCACCCAACCACACCCCTAAACCCAACCGTCATTGGTGGATAAGCGAATCGTAGCCTACTAAATTGTATAAATGAGATACAAATGAATAAACCACTAAATCAGGTTTGACATGAGATCATGTTTTTCTCAGGCTCCAGCTTTATGTTTTATGTTTATCATATTAAAGCAAAGAAAACAATCTGAAGTAGTTGTTTTTAAGATATTTACACCATTATTTTACCGCTCAGACCCACTTGGGAATCGGTTTTCCTCTATGTGGCCCCTGAGCTAAAATAAGTTTGACACCCCTGCAGTAGGTGAATTGGATGAACTAAATTGGCCAGAGTGTATGTGTTTGTGTGAATGAGCGTGTATGGTTGTTTTCCAGTGCTGAGTTGCAGCTGGAAGGGCATTTACTTTGTAAAACGTGCTGGAATAGTTGGCGGATCAATCTGCTGTGGTGACCCTTGATGAATATGTGATTAAGCCGAAGTAAAATGAAGGAATGTATGAATGATTAAGTTTACCTTCCTTTGTTATATTATAAAGAAGTAATTCATGTATATACAGTTAAAGTCAGAATTATTAGCCCCCTTCCAATTCTTTTCTTCTTTTTTAAATATTTCCCAAATGATGTTTAACAGAGCAAAGAAATTTTCAAATCATGTCTGATAATATTTTTTCTTCTGAAGAAAGTCTTATTTGCTTTATTTCGGCTAGAATAAAAGCAGTTTTGAACTTTTTAAACACCATTTTAGGGACAAAATTATTAGCCCCTTAAAGCTATATTTTTTCTCGATATCCTACAGTACAAATCACTGTTATACAATAACTTGCCTAATTACCCTAACCTGCCTAGTTAACCTAATTAACCTAGTTAAGTCTTTAATTGTCACTTTAAGCTGTATTGACTTTATTCTAAAATGCGGAAGTGCGCCTGTTTTCACGATTGTCTTAGAACTTCCGATTCTGTTGCCTACGGGAGAAAATGACTAGGAATAATAAACGGCAAAAAACGGTCAAACTACTTGCTCCACAAACAAATGTCTGCATGACTATATAGACCAAGTAGAATAATATAATGAGGAAATATCAGTTTGCAACACCAAACAGCGAAACAAGCAGTTTTCATTGTCTAAAAATGAATGGAAGTGAATGAGACCGGAAGTCTCAAGCCAAAAAGATTCAAATGGTAGCGCCCGCTCGTCGGCAGAGAATAAGGTGAATAGAAGAGTCTAGAAAAATATCTAGTCAAATATTATTTACTGTCATCATGGCAAAGAGAAAATAAATCAGTTATTAGAGATGAGTTATTAAAACTATTATGTTTAGAAATGTGTTGAAATTTTCTTCTCTCTGTTAAACAGAATTTGGGGAAAAAATAAACAAGCGGCCTAAAAATTCAGGGGGGCTAATAATTCTGACTTCAACTGTATGTCTACATGTCAAAATCAGTTAAAACAACAAGTAACAGACATAAAGAATCTAGAATAAAGCTAAGTTCAAACCAATGATGGCACATATGACTATAAACTAGTGCTGTTAAATGATTAATCGTGATTTAAAAGTTTGTTTACATAGTGATTTTTCAGGTTTTTATTTGTAATGAATTTGCAGCAATTTTAAAAACTCGTTTCCCACATTGTCATTATAGGGTATTGTGTGTAAAATTTTGAGTAAATAAATGAATTTAATCCATTCTGGAATAAGCCTGTAACATAAAAAATGTGGAAAAAGTGGAGCTTTATCAATACTTTCCAGATGCACTGTGTGTTTAGAAAAGTGTTGAAAATAAGTTTTTGATAAACAGAAATTGGGGAAAACAATATACAGGGGGGCTAATAAGTCTGACTTCAACTGTTGTTAACAGCTTTGAGGCTAGTCTAAGCGCTTTTTTCGCAGCTAGTCCCTGCTGCGATTGTTAACAAGGCCCACTTTTGTTGCAGATAAAAAAAAATGAATGGCTCTGAACACGGCCAAGGTGACATTGGGATTGTGCTGACATGAAAAACGCTTCCAGATCAAATGCATTGGGAATCGTGGCAGGGTTAAGCGAATATAATGGTCTTCTCAGAGACTCTAGCTCAGCAGTGGTTTCATCCTCTCGTGAGTTTTCCCTTTGCTTCTTGCTTCTTTTCGCATCCACAACAGCAGCTGTCGAGAGGCCGAACAGAACGGTTCACTCCCCAGGCATCAAAGAGCAATTCTGTCTTGATTCTTTCAACTCATCTTTTATTTGGATCCTCAATCGCAGGATTTCAGTGTGGAGGTCACCTATCTATCCGTCAGTGTAGAAAGACATCAAGCCGGCATTTTAAAAAATAAAGAGGGAGCTTGGTGTGTGTGTTTGCTAAAAACTTGGCCAATGCTCAAATCTCAGGGTCAACAGTGTGTGTGTGTGTGTGTGTGTGTGTGTGTGTGTGTGTGTGTGTGTGTGTGTGTGTGTGTGTGTGTGTCATGTCAACGGATCTGATGTGTGACAGGATGAGAATGCAAACATCTCTTCAATTACTCTAGGGAGGATCTGCTGTCAATTAAATACATATTCATAAGCGTTACATCTTAAAAATTCAAGTATCTTATACAGAGTGAATACAGTGTGAATACTGATACGCTGTATACTGTATGTATGGAGGAATATATATATCAAGGTTGCCTAAAATAATTGGGGGTAAACAAACTACATTGAAAGTAGACCAACGTTAATTATTCATTTTTAAATATCTCTAATAAATATAATTTGTAAATAATTATTATAAAATTGAAATATAATCATGATAGACGTACTTGAGTGTAATTAAAATGTATCTATATTAATTGTTAATTATTAAGTTTATAATTAATATTATAATTATTATGTTGCATTACTTTTAAATGAATAGAAATAACAAAATCGAACAATAGTTTATTATTGTTATGATTATCAGCGATCTAGCGGTTGCAGATCACTAAAGGACTACAAAACCCACCATTATGGACTACAAGATCCAATCATGGACTCTGGATTGCCTGTGTACATCTGTTTGCTCCTGTATTGACTGTTACCTGCCTGATCATTCTCCAAATAAACCCTGCTTTTGGATCCTCACTCCGTTGTCCAGTATCACTTCACACTACAATTATTGTTGTACAGAATATGTACAATTATATTTCCATTAATAATAACTACATTTTTATTATCATTCATTCATTCATTCATTTTCTTGTCATCTTAGTCTCTTTTTTTATTCCGGGGTCGCCACAGCGGAATGAACTGCCAATTCATCCAGCAAGTTTTTCATGCAGCGGATGCCCTTCCAGCCGCAACCCATCTCTGGGAAACATCCACACACACATTCAAACACAGACTCATACACTACAGACAATTTAGCCTACCCAATTCACCTGTACCGCATGTCTTTGGACTGTGGGGGAAACCAGAGAACCCGGAGGAAACCCACACGAACGCAGGGAGAACATGCAAACTCCACACAGAAACACCAACTGAGCCGAGGCTCGAACCAGCGACCTTCTTCTTATTATTATAATTATCATTAATATTATTGGTGTTATTATTATTATTAATATTATTATTAATTATAAAATTGCATTGTATTGTCACATTATATTATTTCACATATTATATTATATTATATTATATTATATTATATTATATTATATTATATTATATTATATGAAATTATACTATAAACACCTTTAAAGATTATTTTATTTATTTTAAACTTTTTGCACATCCAGTCAAATTTATTGTTGCTTTAAAACATAACAAAATTGTTCTGTTACAAGAGAAAACATTTGTCCACCCCATTTTAGGCCTTATCTTAGCTCAATTAAAACAAAACCAGTAGTTACTGCACTTTGCCTTTGGACAGTGGAATTATTTTAAAAATATAAATGAACATATTATGAAAATAATAAATGGAAAGCAAATTACCATTGTCTCCTCCTCTTTTTGGCTGATCTGAAAAATGGTCCAATCCGAGATAAAAAAAAAATAAAAAAAAACATAATGTGACCCGAAGAGTGAGATTTGTGATCGTTTACACCACTAGTGGATGATGATGACATATATATATATATATATATATATTTTTTTTTTCTATTTTATTTATTGTATTGTTATTAATTGTGTTGCTTTTTTAAATGTGGACACTTAAATGTGTTTTATGCATTAACTGTACTTTACAGCCATACTTTTTTTTACCAGGGAGGACCACAATGAAAACAAGCCCAGGGGTTTATTTTGTTTTTTATCCTCCGTTTTATTTCAAAATGTATGGGATACTTGAATTTTTTTTTGCAAAGTTTGTTTAAAATCTGTCAAAATAAAATTTAATTCAATTAGCAATAGTTCCATAATAAATAACTTCTTAATAAATTCTTAATAAGGAACTTCCTAACAATGGCTCATTGTTTAGCACCCCACAGCAAGAAGTTGGCATTTCTGTGTGGAGTTTGCATGTTCTCCCCATGTTGGCGTGGAATTCCTCCGGGTGCTCCGGTTTCTTCCACAAGTCCAAAGATATGCGATATAAAAGAATTGAATAAACTAAATTGGTGTGCATGTGAGAGTGTATGGATGTTTCCCAGTAGTGGGTTTTGTAAAACATATGGTGGAATAGTTGGCGGTTCATTCCACTGTGGTGAACCCTGATAAGTAAAGGGACTAAGCCGAAGGCAAATGAATGAACTTCTTTATAGTAATATATTTGTACAGAATATAGTTAATACCATTATACCAACAATAAATATAAACAATAACATGATCATTATTATATAATATTATCAAACAAACATTATCAAGCGTTTCTTTTCCTACTGTATAGTTGATTTACTGATTTCACAGAACACGGCTCAGTTCTGATCTGATTTTGATTATGTGTTTTTGAAATATTTATCTCCAGGCAGGACTTACATCAGGTATGAATCCAATCTCGTTGAGGTGGTTGCTGAGCTCGGGGTCGTGAAACGCAATCATCTGAGAGAAGACGGTCAGATATTCTGCAGGAGGGAAAAATAAGAGCATTTGTAGACTTTGGCCACGTTATTCCCACGGCGGGACAAACACTTTGCTCAAAGCTCAGTCAGAAAGCAAAAAAACAAAGCACTCCTGCTGCTGGAGTGCCGACAGCTGAGCTAGCAGAACTCAACAACAAACATGAACCAAATGTCAAGCTACAGAAATCCTGTAAGTGTTTATGACTAACTTTTTTGGGGGAGTTTTAAAAAAACAGCTGCAACACAATTTAACATGCACTCAAAAAAATATATATGTTTGTCGATGTTCAAACTACTCAATTACAATGAACTGAAACAACACAAATCTTGAGGGTTTATTTCAGGTCAACTTAATTGCTTTATGTTTAATCCACTTTGTTTTGTATTTTATTTTTGCCAGCACTTAAAACTGCATACTCTCAATCCAGTGCTGTTTGTTATATTCTTCATGGCGAGATGGAAAGATAACCTTACCTTGTATTACATGCGAGTTGTCCTTCAGGAAGAAATTGTACAGATATTTGGGGATGAAGGCCGACATGCATGCGTACGCAAGAGCTGAGAGGAAAATACAATAAGACTGAGTCAGTTCAGCTTGAGGCAATAATATCAGGAAGAATGTGTGGCTTTTTTGGGGGCCAGAAGTCTTACCTTCATTGTTGAAATTTAAATAAAGGAAAGGTGCACAAAGTGAATCCAAGCCTGAAGCAAAAACATCAAATAAGAGAATCATCAACACACGCACACAAGGGAAATCTCATTAAACCTGTCAAGATATTCACACATTGCCCAGGTGATAATGCATACTAAAAATGAAAAAAAATAAAATAATAATAAATGAATATACAAACTGAGCATTAGGTTGTCTTTTCTTTTTATTTATTTATTTATTTATTTATTTATGTATGTATGTAAATATTTTTTTTATTTATAGACGTATTTTTTATAGACGTATTTATTTATGTATACACATATTTATTTATTTTTATTTATTTATTTATTTACATATTTATTTATACATGTGTTTATTTTTGTACTTATTTATTTATTCAATTATTTATGTACGTCTTAATTAATTAATTAATTAATTTATTTATTTATGTATGTATTTATTTAGTTAGTTATGTACCTATTTATTTATTTAGTTGTGTATGTATTTATTAATTTATGTATTTATTTATGTGCATATGTATTTATTAAATAATTTATTTATATACATATTTATTTATTTATGTACATATTTACTTATTTGTTAATTTATTTATGTACATATTTATTTATGGACATATTTGTTTATTTATTTATTTATGTACATATTTATTTATTTAGTTATTTATGTACTTATCTATTTATTTATTTATGTATTTATTTAAATACATTTTAATGTATTTATTCATGTACATATTTATTTATTTATCTATTTATTTATGTACATGATGGATGGATGGATGGATGGATGGATGGATGGATGGATGGATGGATGGATGGATGGATGGATGGATGGATGGATGGATGGATGGATGGATGGATGGATGGATGGATGGATGGATGGATAGAATTTTAGAAATACAGACAGATGAATGGATAGATGGATGGATAGATGGACGGACGGACGGACAAACGGACAGACAGACAGACAGACAGACAGACAGACAGACAGATAGATAGAATACTAACATCACAGGTAAATCAGCATAATTGACTACAATTATAGTTATGATAATGTAATAGAATCACCACTGAGAACAATGACATACCATTACAATGAGGTCTATCTGATTGGACGGGATGGGTGCGAGGTTTATTATGCAATTAGTATAAATAGCATAATGAAAATAAAACTATTTTTGGCATTTAAAAAAATGCTACTTAAACGGTAATATAGCTGAAATTATTGCCATTAATTTGGTTATGGCACATTCCTTTGATTTGTGTTTATCAGAATAATTGGCTGTAATTATAATAATGAGAATATAATTAGAAGCAGCACAGACAATGGCTTGCAATATTAATTATAATTGAGGGTGGGGGGTGATTTAGCTTAATAATAATCAGCACCATCAAAAACATTTCTTAAAGAAATCACTTTTTAGATAAAAACTGGGGTCAGTTAGTATTTCTGTGAGGAGTTTGCATGATCTTCCCGTGTTGACGTGGGTTTTCTTCGAGTGCTCCGGTTTCCCCCACAGTCCAAAGACATGTGGTATAAGTGAATTGGATGGACTAAATTGACCGAAGTGTATGAGTGTGTGTGTGTGTGTGTGTATGTGAGTGTGTAAGGGTGTTTTCCAGTACTGGGTTACTGGACAGGTATCCGCTGCGTAAAACATATGCTGGAATAATTCTGCTGTTCGTTCTGCTGTGGCGATCCATAATAAATAAGGGACTAAGCCGAAGGAAAATGAATGACTTTCATTCATTTGAATGACTATTTATTATTTATTTATGCACATATTTATTTATGTACGTATTTATTTATTTATTTATGTACATATTTATTTATGTACATATTTATTTATGTACGTAATTATTTACCTATGTACATATTTACTTATTTATGTACATGTTTATTTATCTATGTAGTATGTACAGATTTGTTTTCTTATGTACATGTTTATTTCCTTATTTATGTACGCATTTATTTATTTATTTATGTACGTATGTATTTATTTATTTATAAACTTATTTATGTACATATTTATTTATTTATGAATTTATTTATTTATTATTTTTATATAGTTAAAATAAGATGTACATATTTATTTATTCAAGAAAGTAAATAAAAGTAAACAGACTGAAGGCTGTGGGCTGAAGGTACAAATACCAAATTGTAATACATTAAATATAAATGTATTCCATGAATAATTTCTTAATTTGTTTCCTAATATTTAAAAATAACTACATAACATTGCTTTAAATCATAATTATTTTCATTATTTAGCCTGACATGTTTACTGCCCTAAAATATTTAAAATGTTTCTTAAGATAAAATATATTGTGTTCAATGGGGGAAAAGTGTTTTTTTTTTATCCAGACATTTAAAAATATATATATTTTAGAGCAGTAATCACGATACTCTAAAATTGTGATATTTTTGTTTAAGGTTATCATACCGTCAGAATACTTTACCGGCCCATGCCAAGTGCAGAATCTGTGATTTGTTATAACCTGTGTGTACTTAAAATTGAATCACTTTTATATTTTATTATATTTTGTTTTCCTATTATTTGTTTTACATTGATAATTTCAGTCATGGTTATATAATCAATTATAAATCTTAGTTAAAATTAGATTCATATTTTTAATTCCTTTATGTTTATCATTTATTATATTAATCATGTACTAACTTGATTTCTTTATCTTATATATTTCTTATTACTTACTTTGCTTTTAGTGCTTTTTCCATTGTTTAGTCTCATTTTAATGGTGTTTCATGAAATGTTCCTCTCCAATGATATGAGGGTATGCCTCTAATTCAGAGTCTTGTGGTCTGATGCATAATAACATTTGTTATGTTTGTGCTGTTCAGACAAAGTATGAGCGTGCACTGAAACATATGCAACTACGATTATTCAATAAACCCTGCTCTTTAATTATCATCACTTTGTCTCCTGCTTCTGCTCTTATCTGGCTTCCTTCCACCGTCAACACCTATATTGATAGTAGACTGTTATTCAGTTGAATACTGGTTAACAGGTTTGGGTATTGGAAACTCACTAAAGCTGACTTGCTGTCCAAATACCTGGAGAAACTGACATTTCTTTGTGATCTAATACTAGTGCATTGTCCTATATCTGTCGAGTGACAGTATTTACACACACAAAAATCAGATTCATCTACAAAACAAAACAAAACGTTACACTAAATTACTAAAGAGTCATTTAGTAGTAATTTTAGATGCTTAATTTGGGCATCTGTGATCTAAAAATTTTTGGTGATTTCTTGACTTTAATACAAAATAATCCTAAAGAAATCTCGACTGCTGAAAATAAATATTAATTTACATGATTAGTATGCTTAATTAGTATGAGTAAAATGTAATTAATTTGTGTTGTGTATACTGGTTCATCTGCAATTCTTTATTCCCCTGTTTAATCAGTAAAGCACTGTGAGTCTTTGATGCCATCTAGTGGCAGGAAGAGAAAAAAGCTAGCAAAAAAAACACGACCACTCCATCACCTTGCCAGTAAACCAGATCGGGATGAGACACAACCCAAGCCTTCAGCACCCGCCGAAACTTGACATGGCCCTGCGGCGACGACAGCAGCTCATCATATTGGTGACAGCGAGGAATATCCACTTCAATCTGTGTGAAAACACCATAACATAGGCTGAATTAACCATTAAAAACTCAACCAGCAGCCCTGAGTGAACTCGGATCAGAAGGAGCGACACGTTTGCTTCAGAGCTTTTTGAAATATTCGGCAGAGGACAGTCAAATCTTAACAAGCCCAAGACAAACAAACTGAATTATTCAACAGGCTCATGAAAGATTCAGAGTTTCACATCAACTCAATCAGAGGACTATTAAATAAGCACCTAGAAGAGATTCACAGTTCACTTCTCACCTGTCTGTCAGTGGGGATGGGCGTGTCCTTATCGATGGAGTCGTATTTTGATTGGATGTCGCCCTGTGGGTGCATATTAAAGTTGAAATTAAGTTGTATCAAGTGGCTTTAACTACTTATTGTGTTCATGTTTGAATACACAACATTTATGGTGCTACTAAGGAGGGATACAGGTAAGGTTAGAGATTGGTTTGGTGGTATGGGTGGGTTAAGCGTGGGTTAAGGTATAAGGAAAGGCGGCAAAATATATAATTTCGGCATCCATATTGCAATGTGTGCATATGCAATAGCCACATCTCAAAGATTTGCCATTTTGAGCTGACTTTGCAGTGCAATTTTTACACTTACCTGTACCAAATCATAATGAACGCATAGTTTATTTCACTTTTATATTTGCATTAGTGCATTTATCTAAGCTTGTAGTTTGGTTATGACATTGGTCATGCTTTATTTTGATCTTTTATTTTGACTTTATTTTGGTCAGTTTGTTGAATTTAAGTAACATTGCATCTACAAGCCAACTAATTCTCATTAGATTACAAGTAGACTGTTAAGGTTGGGTTAGTGTAAGTTGACATGTACTTACAAAGTTATTTACGTCTGTTTAACAGCAGTATCAACAGACAGTCTACTAATACTCATATGGACCATCAAATTAAAGTGTTACCATTACATGTTATGCATGATTCACTCCCCTACAGCAGGGGTTCCCAAACTTTTCAGCCCACGACCCCCAAAATAACAATGCTAGTGACTCGCGACCCCCAATATCCTCTGAGGTGGTTATAAATACAGAAACTTTGCGTGCAATTGTGTGCACCAATAGACCAAAGTCTATTCTTTGTTTAATTCTTTAATGTATGTCAGTGCTGTAAATGTGTCGCCAGAAGTGAAAATTCATTCCTATCCTTTTTGGCTAAGTCCCTTTATTAATCAGAGGTCGCCACAGCGGAATGAACCGCCAACTTATGCAGCATATGTTTTATGCAGTGGATGCCCTTCCAGCCGCAACCCATCTCTGTGAAACATCCATACACTCTCACACACACTCATACACTACGGATAATTTAGCCTACCCAATTCACCTGTACCGCATGTCTTCGGAGTAAGGGGAAACCGGAGCAACCGGAGGAAACCCACATGCACGCAGGGAGAACATGCAAAGTCCACACAGAAATGCCAACTGACCCTGCCGAGGCTCAAACCAGCGACCTTCTTGCTGTGAGGCGACAGCACTACCTACTGCGCCTCTGCGTCGCCAAAGTGAAAATGTAACTATCAAATTATAGTTAAAATTTTAGCCTATATTCACTGTACAAATACAAAAAAAAACACAAATTGTAATGGTACTGGTAATAAACTGTTAAACTGCCATAATTTGCTTTGCAAAGCCATTAAATATTACTTACTTTCAGAAAAGAACAAGAAAAAACATGAAATTATAAAGAGCTACACAAGCTACGTAGACAGTTAATAAATAAACACAAATTAAAATAGTATTCGTTACAAACAATATTCAAATAGGTTTAAGTTGTGTTTAAAAAAAAGTAATGTTTACTTCATTTGGGGTAAAAAATTAAAAGTTGTGCATTTTAAAATGGAAATAGAGCTAGCATAAACCTAAAAGGCAAAGAAAAGGTGTTTGCTTAAAAGCAAAATGCACATTGACTTCGTGTCAGCATTTGATTGATTGCACACAACATGCAAACACAGGAATCAATAGTCTATTAATGAGCTGAAAATGCCAGGGCTGCTTTTTAGACAGAAAAATGGATCAGCATCATCATCTGATGCAAACGAAAATCAGCTGCCTATTAAAAAGCGGTCATAAAACATCTGGGAAAATTGCACTATATTCCATGGTGTAAACGCAGTGATTGTGTGCGTACCTCAACTCCGAGTAAAGCCGCCCAGGCCAGACCCCTCAGAAGAGGAGGAATGTCAACCCTCGCCTCCTTCCAGATCTGGTTCTTCTTGTAAGGGTATGCCTTTAAAAAAAGCATGCAAACTTTTGTGGCGCTATTACAAGATACCAATATTACACATTATATACACTCACTGGCCACTTTATTAGGTACACCTGTACAACTACTCGTTAACACAAATTTAAAATCAGCCAATCACATGGCAGCAACTCGACGCATTTAGGCATGTAGACATGGTCAAGACGATCTGCTGAAGCCCAAACGTTGTTGTTGCCAGACGGGCTGGTCTGAGTATTTCAGAAACTGCTGATCTACTAGGATTTTCACGAACAACCATCTCTGGGGGGTAACACAGAATGGTCTGAAAAAGAGAAAATATCCAGTGAGCGGCAGTGCTGTGGGCCCTAATGCCTTTTTGATGTCAGAAATCAGAGAAGAATGGCCAGAATGGTTCAAGCAGAGAGAAAGGCAACAGTAACTCAAATAACCACTCTTTACAACAGAGGTAATACAGACGAGCATGTCCAACCTTGAGGCGGATGGGTTACAGCAGCAGAAAACCATACTGGGTGCAACTCCTGTCAGCTAAGAACTGAAGCAACAATTCACACAGGCTCACCAAAATTGGACAATAGAAAATTGGATGAACGTTGCCTGGTTTGATGAGTCTCGATATCTGTTGTGACATTCGGGTGGTCGAGTCAGAATTTGGCTTCAACAACATGAAAGCATGGATCCTTCCTGCCTTGTATCAACGATTCAGGCTAGTGGTGGTGGTGTAATGGTGTGTGGAATTTTTTTTGGCACACTTTGGGCCCATTAGTACCAATTGAGCATTGTGTCAACGCCACAGCCTACCTGAGTATTGTTGCTGACCATTTCCATCCCTTTATGACCACACTTTACCCATCTTCTGATCACTACTTCCAGCAGGATAATACGCTATGTCATCTTAATGTACACAGAAATATTTCCAGTACCTTGTTGAATCTATGCCACGAAGAATTAAGGCAGTTCTGAAGGCAAAAGAGGGTCCAGCCCGGTACTAGTAAGGTGTACCTAATAAAGTGGCCGGTGAGTGTAAAAATATAAAACAATAAAAAATAAATGATACACAACGATAAATCATGATAATTCAAATTAGAAAGAAACAATGTCTTTAAAGAAATCAATATTTCATATTGAGAAACTATACTTTCTATGTAATAGTAGCGTGTGAGCAGTATGTGAAATAATATGAATTATTACTGAACAAAGCGCTCTGCTAACATTGTCAACAAAAAGTAAGGTTTTTAAATAATAAGAAATACTAAATAATTGTGTGCGTGTGTGGGTGTGTTTGTGTGCATATGTGTGTTTGTGTGCATGCGTGTGTGTTGGTGTGTGTGAAGGACCTTGAGCAGTCTGTGGAAGAGGACGATGCGTGTGAGCTGGTACTCGGTGTCTCTCTCTCGGATAATGAGGGGCAGTGTGACGGTGGCAGACAGTTCATTACTGCTGCTGGACTGAGGCAGGCTGCACTGCCTGCGGGACACAACAGACATTACTTGAGCATCAGGCTGACACAGACCGCTGTCAAACAATAACTCAACACAAGATGAGAAGGCTAACGAACGAGGGAACAATTTCTTACTCATCCTCCAATAATGGAAAGTATGTCTCTCCCGCCACATCCTTCAGCCTCTAAAAGCAGACATTAGCAGCGTTTTAGGATGTCAACTCACATTATGTTTTTTTGTTTTTTATTTGTTGAAAATATACCAACCCAAGCTCATTCTGGAAACGTAGCCCCGCGGACGTTTCTGGAGACCGCGATTTACGTGGCCGGAGGTACGTAAAGTCCGCGTTTAGATTTTTTCGAGCGAACGCTGTGGGGCGGTGTGGCGCCGCTCCACCCCTCCTCTTCGCGCTTGCTGTCCGACGGCTCGCCTCCGAGTGGAGGGCTTTCCCGATGCAATCAGTTTGTCCGCTTAGCTCACAGCGTTGCGTCGGCGGAGCGGAGGCCCCGGAGGAGGAGCCGGCTGCGGTGGACGACGACCGGGATCGAGTCCGGGGAACAGCAGGTTCCGGAAATCAGGTAAGACGAAAAACAGAATCCGAAAAATAAGGGCGAGAACGCGGTGGGATCTGAAAACGCGGTCGAAATCGAAGACGAGGGCTTTTGCTTTTTTTTTTTTTTTTCTGGACGGCTTTTGCGAACCGTTGCTCGGGTTTAGGGAAGGAGGAGGAGGAGGAGGAAGAGGAGGGCGGCCGAGTCGGCCGATCCGGCGGCTTTTCGGCGCTTCCGAGAGGCGCCCGAGACGCGAAAAAGCGCACACAGCGGCCTCTCGCGGATCCGCGAAAACAAAAAACGCTCGAATACGTACCTCCCGGGACTTAAATCGCGGTCCGCAGAAACGTCCACGGGGCTACGTTTCCACAATGAGCCCGGGTTGAAATATACATTGGGGAAATAAGTATTGAGCATGTCATGTTTTTTCCTGGTAATAATATTTCTAAAGGAGCTGCTGACATGAAATTGAAATAGATTGAGGAAAAAACCCAAACAAAACAAACATAAAATTAAAACAAATCTGAAAAATTAGTTGTGTAATAACAATAGAACGACACAAGGAGAAAGTACTGAACTACTATAACGTATTTAATATTTCATATTAAAAGCTTTTTTGGTGATGGCAGCTTTAAGAGGCCTCTCATATAGAGAATGAAGTCAAACACATTGCTCAGTTTTTCACAGACTTCAACCGAAAATGCAGTTAAAGGAACATAAAAACATGTGTTGTCATGACTTTTTGTCATAACATTGTTTACAGTGTGTATTTTACATTTGCTAGCAAATACAAGCAAACACGCTTACGTTTCTGAGCTGAAAGAGAGAAAGTGTCACAGTTGTGTCATCCAGGAGGAAGCTTCTGTCCCGGCCCTGTCCAAACGACTCGCCATCCTCCAAAATAAACCTACAGCAAACACATTCGATGATGATGCACTCTTAAGCATTCCTAAAGCTGCCATCAAGTGGTTAAAAGAGACGTATATGTACTTGGGAAGCGTGCAGATGGGTGGTTTGGACTGGATGATCTCCTGATTGGTGAGCTCTTTCTCCAGGTCTCCCCCTGCCAGACACCACAGGTGATAAACCTCATCTATGGCTCTCTCCGACAGGTAGTTCTCTCCATTCTCTGCACAACAGAGCAGCACGGTTATGTACATTCATTTTAGCGTTCACTTGTTCATTTGACTTCATTTACCGTTCACTTGCACAGTGTTTCTCAACCACGTTCCCGGAGAACCAGCAGCACTGCATGTTTTGGATGTCTACTTTGTCTGTTACACCCATCACAGGTATGTCAGTCTCTGCTAATGAGCTGATGATCTGAATCAGGTGTGTTTGGTTAAGGAGACATGAGCTGCGTCCCAAATCGCATACTTATGCACTATTCTATGCCATTTTGTAGTATAAATAGTGTAAGTAGTGCGTTCACACTGAAAACTCTAAAAATAATGAGTGCACTTTAATGACCCGGATGATGCACTCATTCAGCCGCTAAAATGAAGTGTGGAATGATGGACACTTCACGCACTCAACGACCGCAGGTTTGCTTACATAGCGGAAGGGGCGGAGCTATCGGACGCACATGTTGAATAACTTTATTTAGTGATTAGTGATTAGTGATTATAGCGCCTCCCGATGGTGAATGCGGCAATACTCGCTCCAGGTATTATTTGATAATTCGTTCGTTTATTTCACTGATTTGGCAACCGTCAAACGTCATCAGGGAACCGGTTTGAATTTCCGCTTGGTAAAAAAACATTAGTGCTCCATTTGGGACAACACTACATACATATACTATCCTGTTGAGTGTGTAAGTGCATAAGTACATAGTGCATGAGTGCATAGTGCATAGTGTGCCATTTGGGACGCAGCAATGGAAAATGTGCAGAGGTGCTGGTCCTCAAGGAACATGGTTGAGAAACGCTGATTTAGCAGGTGCTTTTGTCCAAAGTGACTTACAGTTAAGGGAGGCATCCAGCGATTCAACAAGAAGAGGCAATACACACAACAAGTGCTAATTATGCAAAGGAACTGTTTGTGCTCAGAGAATTAACTGCTAGAGTCAGAAGTTTTAATAAAGTGACCAGTGCATATACAGAGAAGAGTGTTTCTGCAGGTGGTTTGTCAAGCCCACTCAGCTGTGTGAGGAATACTTTATAAATGCACAATGTTTTTGTATGAAAGTGTCAGATGCAAATGTGTAAAACTGGTGCAAGTGTCAGTTTTTAAGCCTCGTTTATACTCGATGCGTCCGCTAGTTTGCTTGAGTGCATCCGGCAATTGTGACGTCATCGGAGTTTGCGGAGGTTCGCTTTGAGTGCGCGCGAAATGATTTCGGCCGGCGGATCGCATGATTTTTTTTTTTTTAGACTCAAGCATAGTGTGCACGGCCCCACGTTTGATTTGAGTTGAATATGAACCACTTTGAAGAGATTTTGTCTGAAACAGGTACGACCGTACAGACATCTTTATGATCTGTGATCATAGAGATAACCTGATGAACAAGAATTCTTGGCTAGAAATTGCAACAGCTGTGGGAAAGGAGGAAAGTTTTTGTTAAAAGGTTTAAAAAAACCTGAGGGATAAGTTTGCCTGGAGACCCAGGTACACAATTATAGAAAATGTTTTTCCACCTTTAATGGGTTTGACACTGACGTATATGTTTAATTCTGAATTTAAAACAATTTAATCCTCACAAAACTATAATTAAGAAACAAATTATTTCTTTGATAACTGGGAAGGAATATTTGAACCTATCGGTTTACAATATACTGATGCCCTGTTTTTCTAGGCTTTATTGATGATAATGGTCAGGAATGTTGGACCATTATTGCCTTTTTAGCAGAAGTAGAGGATTAAAACTAGCCAGACGATAATGTATGAATTGTTTCGCGGGTTAAGTAAAAAAAAATAAAAAAAAATAAAACAAATCTGTATTTTTAGTAAGCATACTTTTTTTTGCTTTTATTCTTGCCATAATAAAAGATATATTTGTCGAGTAACTCAAGTTCTGTTGTCATTAATATTTTTACTTTAATAGTTAAAACTGTCCGAGATATGGACAAAAGCAAGTGATGCATCAAAGTTTGATAAAAAAAAAAAATCTTGAGTGGTTATAAAAATCTTTATAATCATTTAAATAATTTATAAAAACATTACAAATAATTAGGTGAAAAATATTGAATGATATTATTTATTTGACGTAGTTCCGGAAACTTCTTCTCCGTTTATTCGTCTGACTTTACGGTCAGTTTCTTTTGACCGCCCCCTGTCGTTTTAGGACAACGGCGAACGCATCAAGTTTAAAAGTGTTAAATTAGTGTTAAGCAATTGTAAAATATCCTGTTTTACTCAATTTTTTAAGAGCTTAATTTCAGTTGTCTATGCATTATAGAGTCTTTAATATGGATTTAAAGTGGTACTGAGTAGAGTGAATAGCTTATTGAGAAACTAAGCTACTTTTTATTTTAACACAAGTAGAAATTAGTAATTAAACTACTTTTTGAAGTAACTTTTCCAGAATTTATCTAGATTTCTGATTAAATGGTAATTGGGGGAAATTATATCCAGAGAGGCTAATAATTCAAGAGAGATAATAATTCTGCCTTCAACTGTACTAATCATAGACACCTTTGATAAATGACATTTATTTCATGTATTGTTTATTTATCTGTACTTGATCCAGTCATTACTGTTTTGCTTTTGGCTTACCCAGCATTGTTCATGGTCAGTAATTTTGAAGTCTAATAAGTTGCCTTTTAATCAGGATTCCCACCAATGTCAAATTCTCTAAAACTAAAAAGCTGAATTTCCATGACCTACACTGAATTGAATAACAAGGCACTGGGGCACTGTTGCAAGATTAAAATATTCCCAGATGATGTGAACAGAGCAAATAATTTTTAACAGTATTTCCTATAATATTTTTTTCTTCTGGAGAAAGTTTTATTTGTTTTATTTTGGCTATAAAAGCAGTTTTTAATATATTTAAAACCCCTTTAAGGTCAAAATTATTAACCCCCTTGAGCAATTTATTTTTCCAATTGTCTACAGAACAAACTTTCGTTATACAATAACTTGCATAATTACCCTAACCTGCCTAGTTAACCTAATTAACCTAGTTAAGCCTTTAAATGTCACTTTATGCTGAATACTAGAATTTTGATCTTAAAATATTTAGTAAAATATTATTGACTGTCATCATGGCAAATATAAAATAAATCAGGTTTTAGAAATGAGTCATTAAAACTATTATGTTTAGAAATTTGTCAAATCTTCTTTTCTTTAAACAGAAAATGGGTGGGGGAAATGTACAGGGGGCTAATAATTAAGGAGAGCTAATAATTTTGACTTCGCCTGTACATTTAGCAAACTTGTTTGGTTTGTATTAGATGTAAAACCTGTCAAATTGATCTTACTATCTTTATCCCAGCTCCCCAGTTATTTCTGTTTGGCTATTGACTGGAGCTTTTAGTTACTATATTCTAAAAATCATTTTGTATATGTTTCTGAATATTTAGTACAGAATTTGCACCTCTACAGAGTTCACTGATGTCATCAGGAAGCTGTAGATAAGCACATCGTGGTGAGGCGGAGAACAGATGCACAGGACTCTGATAGGGAGTATACTCAGAAGATATGCTCTCAAACACTGCGTCTCCCAGAAGATCAGAAGGAGTGGGTCTGAAGGACAGAAACAATTAGCAGACACAAATAAGTGTTATTAATCAACCATACTTTTGATCTGCTTGGGTTTTTTAAATATCTATTAATGATTAATACACAGGAAATCAATTCCAGTATCATGATGATTTGATTAGACCAAATCAACAACTTGTGATTCAACATTTAAGATATAAACCAACAAACAAACACTAAATTAAAAACAGCCTATATAAATGAATATATATTTATATATTTACACACACACACACACACACATATATATATATATATATATATATATATATATATATATATATATATTTTTTTTTTTTTTTATTTATTCATTTTCTTGTTGGCTTAGTCCCTTTATTAATCCGAGGTCCCCACAGTGGAATGAACCGCCAACTCATCCAGCACATTTTTATGCAGTGGATGCCCTTCCAGCCACAACCAATCTCTATAAATATATAAATAAATAAATAATTATTAACAGATATATGTTCAAATGTTTCTAAAAGTGATTTTATATCATACAAAGAATATTATATGAATAAATAAACAAATAAATAAATAAATAAATAAATAGAGAAAATCTCCTTTAAAGTTGTCCAAATTAAGATCTTTTCATATATTTAGAGTAGATACTTTACTAAATGTCTTAATAGAACACTTTTTAAAATTATGTTGGCTTGAGAAAGTCAACAAATTGTTATATTATTTAAGCGCATTATTATATTTATTATTATTATTATTATTATTATTACTATTACTATTATTATCATAATTATTATTATTATTATTATTATTATTATTATATTTATTATTATCATCATCATCATCATCATCATCATCATCATTATTATTATTATTATTATTATTATAAATATTATTATTATATTTATTATTAAAGATCTTCGATCTGATGGTTAAAATAAATAATTAATTCCACTGTGGTATGGCCAGATTAATAAAAGGACTAAGCCGAAAAGGAAATGAATGAATGAATGAATTAATTAATTAATTAATTTACAAAATGTCTTTTTTGAACACTTTTTTAAATTATGTTGGCTTGAGAAAATCAACAAATTGTTATATTATTATTCTTATTAATATATTTATTATTATAGATCTGGAATCTGATGGTGAAAATGAATAAATAAACAAATAAATAAACAAACAAACAAACAAACAAACAGATGAATGAAAGATTGAATGAATAAATGAATGAATGAATGAATGAATGAATGAATGAATGAATGAATGAATGAATGAATGAATGAATGAATGAATGAAGAGGTTAATTCCGCTGTAGCGACCCCGGATTAAAAAACGGACAAAGCCGAAAAGAAAATGAATGAATGAATGAATGAATGAACGAACGAATAAATAAACGGAGAAAATTTCCTTTAAAGTAGTCCAAATTAAGTTCTTTTAATTTATTTAGAGTAGACATTTTTCAAAATGTCTTAATAAAACACTATTTTACTTAAATGTTTTTTACCTAATACACAAATTTAGTTTATTTTAAATAATTAGATTTACTTTTTTAGCACATTTACGATCAACAAAAAATCTAAATTCAGTTTAAAACGGTGTCAAAAAGGTTTTGAAAAGTATGAAAAAGAAAAAAAGACATATTAGTGCAATCTTAAAAACGTATCGCTGACAAATGAGTCTTTTTGACTCCTTAAATCCTTATACACAGTTTTTAATATGTCATTAAAAAACAACATTAAATGCACTATTGCTACACTGAGAGACATTTTAGCAGGTGTCGTTTGTAAATCATTAAAAAAAACGTATGATGTCATTAACAAAAAATGAAAGGGGACAAATTGTAGCCATCAACCCTTCAGACTGCAGGAAAAGCTTTAAAAGATGAGAGCGTTTCTTTCAATAAAGGAAGGATGAAGCATATGGACAGGTTACCGTTTTGAAGGGAGAAACGTCAGGCATTTCCTCAATAAAGCCTGCACGTTTTCAGGCAGATCCTGGGAGAATGACGAAGACAAGAATATTAGTCAAGCATCAAACCCTGATAAATCAGCACTATCTGTCATTCCCGCTATAAACTCCACTGAAAAGTCGAGTTTTATGAGGACATTTGGAAGACATTAGCCGTCCCGCCAGTGTGTGTTCAGCGTCAAGCTAAGAAGAGTTTGTCTGAGAGGTTTCCAAGTAAACATTTTAAAGCTAAACCCTGTTGAGAGGAAACCTCTGAGATAAAGCAGTTGTCACCGTGTACTTTCTGTCCTAAAAGTAAGTAAAAGGTTTTGAAAAAAACACAATCAAATTGAGATACAGAATTATTGTCAATCTTTTTTTAATATTTCCCAAATGATGTTTAACAGAGCAAGTCAATTTTCACAGTATGTCAGATAATATTTTTTCTTCTGGAGAAAGTCTTATTAGTTTTATTTCGGCTAGAATGAAAGCAGTTTTTAATTTTTCTGAAGTCATTTTAAGGTCAATATTAGTAGCCCCCTTGAGTAATTATTTTTTGATAGTCTACAGAACAAACCATCATTATACAATACTTTGCCTAAATTACCCTAACCAGCCTAGTTAACCTAATTAACCTAGTTAAGCCTTTAAATGTCACTTTAAGCTGTATAGAAGTGTCTTGAAAAATATCTAGTCAAATATTATTTACTGTCATCATGACAAAGATAAAATAAATCAGTTATTAGAGATGAGTTATTAAAACTATTATGATTAGAAATTTGTTTATAAACTGTTAAACAGAAAAAAGGAAACAGGGGCTAAAATTCTGGCTCCAACTGTTTATCTCTGTAAGTAAAGTAGACAGTCTACTAAGATGCATATAGACTGACCTTAATTGTGTCTATGCACCCGTGTTCCTCGGCTAATACTGTAATGATGTCATCCATGCACCCTGTTAAGGAAACATCAGAGATATTGCAGTAGTGAAGAGTGTTTCAAAGGGAAATGGACTGAAAATAAAATACACTATTTATTGTGTACTTGAACATACCTAAGGTGATGATGAACTTCATTCTCTCGCTGATGTCTATGTTCTGCAGAATCTGCCTTCCCTATTGAACATTGCAAAGCACATGACAACACAGAGCCAATCAGAATCATTGTGGGGGTGACGGTTAAATAGTCAAATTTACCAAACAAGCAAAATACTTTCTATACTTATAAATAATAGCCATCTTTACTTTCATCATATATCATTCTTTTCATCCATCCACAATTTCATGCATCCATCTATAATTTTTCCATCCATCTATGCATTCACCCATCAATTCATCCATCCACCCATGCTTCTATCCATCTATCCCAGTGGTTCTCAAACTGTGGTACGTGTACCACTAGTGGTACGCAGGCTTCCTTCTAGTGGTACGCGGAGGAATGAAATATGTCATGTACATGCTACACACATTTCTAAATTGATCAAAAATGATGTATATAATATGCCATATATGACACATAGCCTATATTTCTGAGGTAATATACCACGTTTTTTAACTGTGCAGAGTTGTAGCTGCTTTACTGGGCCTACTATGCTACTGTATATCAATGCTGCTTATTTTGGTGGTAAATTTTTTTCTGAGGTGGCACTTGATGAAAAAAGTTTGAGAGCCACTGATCTATCCTATATGTCCTAAAAGCAATCTGAAAGGAAGTTGTCGCTCCTTTCGTCTATCAATCCATTTGGGAAATATTTAAAAGAGAAACAAAAAAAATAATAATAATAAAAAAATCACAGGAGGGTTAATAATTTTGACTGAGTGTTAACTGTAACATTTAAACATGTTTTCATTTGTAACCCAAGTGCACTACATGCACCCTAAATGATTCATATATTGTTTTAAACACACACACACACAGATAATTAGTATTAAAGTAAAAGTTTGCTTCAGTTCTGGATGAGCTGCATTGAGTTCATACCACACAGAGTTCAAACAGAAGCACCCCGAGAGACCAGACGTCAGTTTTGGGCCCTGAAGGCTGCGGGGCCTCATTGATGGAGGGCTCGCTGGAATAGAAACAGCCCTGAGCAATAACCTCCGGAGGCAGGTAAGATGGATACCTACAGAAACACAGAGATATGGGTGTTGGAAAGGTTTTGCAGAGTGCAGATGGGCTCCTTGTGATGACAGATAACAAAAAGACGGGAAAAAAAATCGCAACCGGATATTACAAGACATGAGGGCTCCTAGTTGTGCCACTCCGCCATGTTATTTATGAAGCCGCTTTGATATCCTGGATCTGCTTTTGATCAAAACAAAGACGATGCACATCTAATGTTAGCTCATCTTTCTTTATTATGAGAGAACAGCGTGACCCATTGATCTTTTTTTCCCTCGCTCTCCATGAATGCTGATGGTTCAGTTCTGTGCGTCTTAAAGAGACGGCGCACAAGATTTAAAGCTCACCCTGACTTTGTGCTCCACTTTAATGATGCTGAGATGTTATCAGAACCCTTATATAGACTCTAAAGCACATGAGTTTTTATTTTGAGGGATACGCTTCGAACAAATGGAAAAGATTATGGACGAATGACGTACCCAATTGGGAAGTCGACATCTGCTCCATGGTCGGTCATATGATACAGGCCAAATTTGGCCAGCTTCACTTTATCCTGTAGAGTTTGTGAAAGAAAGGAAATGTTAATTAGAAGCTGATCATCCTGATAAACATTATGTCAATGTTAATATTTGTTGGGTTTGAAGTTAGTTTATATTTTAATATTTCAGTTATTAAAGATCTTACAATATAGCTGTATAATGTTTCAGTAACAATAAAAAGGATCATAATAAAAAAAAAGTATTGACAAAACAAATTCAGATTAAAACAAATAAATATGATTTTTAGGTTAATTAAAATTAAATAATATGCACTAATTAATTAAATAAAATTAAAAAAATATATATGGTATTTAGGTTAATTAAACATAGTTTAAATAATAAAACCTAATGAATAAATAAATTGAATACAATCAACAAAACAAATACGGATTACAACTAATAGATATGATTTTTAAGTTAATTAAAATAAATTACTTAATAAACACTAATGAATCAATTTATTTACATCAAATCAACAACACAAATATGGATTACAACTATTAAATATTTTAAGTTAATTAAAATATGGTAAATAATAAACACAAATCAATATAATTTCAATGAAATGTAATTAACAAATACAAATAACAATTAGATATAATTTATAAGTTAATTTGAATAAATTTAGTATTAAACACTGATAAATTGTATTTAATCAACAAATAATAATAATTTTAAGTTAAGGCTATTTAAAAATAATTACAATAATAAACACTTATAAATTAAATTATTGATTAATTAATTATTATTATTGATTATAATTTATATATTAAAGAATATAAATTAAATTAAATAAACAAAACAAGTACAGGTTCCAACAATTAGATATGATTTAAGATAATTAAAATAAAAAAATATTGAGCACTAATAAATAAAATTAATTTAAAAACAAATTACATTACTTAAATATGATTTTAAGCTATACATGTTATAATAAATAATAAACAATAATGATTATAAATTATATGTAATTAAATGAACAAATACAATATTAAAAAGTATAAAAACGAAAGATTAAAAAATAAACTAAATTAACAAATACAAGTTACATCAATAAACATGATCTATAGTTTATTACAATAAATTAAATAATAAAGACAATTAAATTTAATTCAATCTAATTAAACTACTAAATTTAATTAAATAAATGAAATAAAATATGGATTACAACAATTAGCTATGATTTTAAGTTATTCAAAACAAATAAATATTTAACACTAATAAATTAAAATAAATGAACACATACAACTTACAACAAATAAATATGATTTAAGTTAAATTAAATGTATTAAATTAACAAATTCAAAATGTAACAATTTAATAGATTTAATAGATGGTAATTAAAATAAACTAAATAATAATTATACAATAAATAATAATTATACAATAAAATAATTATTGTTATACAGCATCATAAAAAAGTGCTGCTATAATGATGTGATGTAAACAAAACAAAACAAAACAAAACAAAACAAAACAAAACAAAACAAAACAAAACAAAACAAAACAAAACAAAACAAAACAAAACAAAACAAAACAACTGGGACTATGCAAATAAATTCCACTTACCGCACGATCTAGGAGGACATTGTTAGGAGATAAAGCGCGATGCACCATCCCGTGCTTATTCATGAACTCCAATCCTTCCAGCACTTCATAGGCAACCTGTAGCACCTTCTCTGGACTAGCAAAAGAAACAAAAACCACCAAAGATAACATTTTATTCACCCTGCTTTTATGTCTTTTGTCTTTATTTTTATTCCTTTCTATAGTTCTGTTTTTCTATAGTTTGTTTTTTTTATGATGCAGTAAAGCACTTCAGCCAGTCTTGTGGCTGTTTGTAACATACTACACAAATGAAGTCAACTTGAACTTGAAGCTAACTCTATTTACGGTGTCTTCAACAACATAACAGCAGCTTTCCAATTTCTATAAAAAAAAAGTTGGTAAATGAACACATTATTGAGTAGAGGAAACCCATTTTTGATATTTTTTATAAGATAAATGACAATAAATGTCACAAATAAAACATTAGGACATTATGAATATACACCATCCACTAGCATATATATTGAAATTATTAGCACACATAAATCTATTTAAATGCCACTCATTCATAATCAAATGTCACATTTAGACAGTAGATGGCAGAACAAGAGCAGTTTATATGTGTGGTCTGACCTGTTAAAATCAGTTATTGGAAAGCACTGCACTAGTTTAGTTGTGCTCAGTAACATACTGCATGAAAACAGCAGAGCTGAATGTGAAAGAGACTGCATTTGTCTGCTTTCAATTGAAGACAGAGGACAAAAAGAGAGAGAGAGAGAGTGAGAGCGCCTGCCTGCCTGCACAAACACAGACTTCTGGGACAATATGACCTCGAAAACAAATGCCTTATGGGAATAAATGTTTATGCCATTTAATAAACAAAAAGTGGGAATGGTTATTCGCAATCCTAAAATGAGATCTGAGTGCTTTTTGTTAAGCTAAAGCCTTTGTAAATAGAAATGCACAGAAACAATATACACTCACCGGCCACTTTATTAGGTACACCTGTCCAACTGCTCGTTAATGCAAATTTCTAATCAGCCAATCACAATGAAGCAGCTCAATGCATTTAGACATGTAGACATGGACTGTTTCTCAATTCCAAGAACGCTGAGAATAGACTTGCGTTCTTGTGCAGACCGTTCTTACCAAGTTCCCTTGGAAAAACTAACTTGTCCTGTTAAAAATGAGATGGTGCTGTCTTCCTGATGGTCACATGACCTTAACACGTTTTTAATAGTAAGTATTTAAACATTACAACATTCATACCATTTATTGTTTCCCCCTTTTTCACAATATATACTATGCATAAAGACTTTACATGTGTTGCAAAGTACAAATAAAGCTAATTTTAATACGAATATCAGCAAATAAACACCCTTAATGTGTTTATGCCTTTATTAGGATTGTCATGGTAATGTTTATATTCACCGTTTCATTTAGGGAAACTCCTGAGGTAAATAAGTTATATCTCTGAACTTTAATATTAAATCTATATAAAATGCTGCACTTTCCACCTCATTTACTCATCCATAATGTCTTCTGGGACTTCTCGAGTAAGTTTTCCGCTTAAGTCTGCATCGATGTGTCCTCTATATCAAGAACACATTCGGGAAGTTTTACGCGTCCTCCGTTCTTGCGCTCTTGAGTCTTGGAACTGAACTTTGGCAGTTGATGATGACGTTAGACGAGAACACGAGGACGCAAGATTGCTGAGGAATGCATATTGAGAAACAGCCATGGTCTAGATCAGGGGTTCCCAAACTTTTTAGCTTGCGACCCCCAAAATAACAATGCTAGTGACTCGCGACCCCCAATATCCTCTGAGGTGGTTATATATACAGAAACCTCGCATGCAATAGCGCACACACACCAATAGACCCAAGTTTATTCTTTATTTTTTATCTATAACAGAGCTGTAAATGTGCCAGAAAGTTTATCCTGATGTTATAAAATCAATCTGCTGCATCTGACGCCATTGGTGTGTCTTTAAAATATATGTAATTACACCAGGGGTCGCAATCCAATAGAACTAGTAACTATAAGCTACTGTAGTAACTATATAGTATATATTAACTATAAACAACAATTTTTCTCTTCAGTAGTTTATTGATAAAATATGGTCATTCTTATGGTTTAACATAAATAAATAGATTTTTGGAAATCACCAGGCGACCCCCCTTTATTGTCTCGCGACCCCTTGGGGGGTCCCGACCGCCACTTTGAGAACCACTGGTCTAGATCAGTCTAGATCTTAAACTGTGGTACATGTACCACTAGTGGTACAAGGGCTTCCTTCTAGTGGTAAGCTGAGGAATCAAATATGTCATATGTACATGCTACATATATTTCAAAATTTATCAAAAATGATTTATATATGTATATGATGACAAATAGCTTATATTTCCAAGGTCCAGGCAGCATTAATACTTTACATTTAAGTAACAAGTTTTATTTTTACTTTTTAGAAACAATGACCTTTCATTTTGAACTTTTAAAAGCATGTTTTAATTTAAACGTTTTGTTTTTATTTGTTTTTTGTTTGTTTTTTCCACATATAACACAGCACAGTGTTAATGTTCTAACTATTTATAATGTTTAAAATGGCTGACAATAATAAATATTTTTAATAATCATAAATCTGCTTTATTTTTGAAGTGTGCAGCTGCTTCATCGGGTCTAATACGCTACTGTATTTCAATACTGCTTATTATGGTGTCACTTGGAAAGACAATTCTTTTCTGAGGTGGTACTTGATGAAAAACGTTTGAGAACCACTGGTCTAGATGATCTGCTGCTGTTCAAACCGAGCATCAGAATGGAGAGGAAAGGTGATTTAAGTGACTTGGAACATGGCGTGGTTGTTGGTGCCAGACGGCTGGTCAGAGTATTTCAGAAACTGCTGATCTACTGGGATTTTTCACGCACAACCGCCTTAAGGGTTTACAGAGAATATATCCAGTGAGTGGCAGTTCAGTGGGAAAAAAATGGCTTATTGATGACAGAGGTCAGAGGAGAATAACTAGACTGCGTCTTTGGAAACCGGAGTACCCGGAGCACTAGAGATGCGCGGATCAGCTGAAATGACACCCGAATCCGCAGCTTTATACTAATCATCCACCCGCCACGCACCCGCACATATAGTTTTATAGTATCTGATATATGTATCCGCACCCAAGCTGCACCCGATCATCACTTTAATAATTTCATTCTTTGTTTTAGGCATGATGATAAGTCAGTGTGGATATTAACAGCAGATTCAGTGAGCTTTTTTATCTATGAGTGTAAAATAATACATTAGTCGTAAACGTTTTTAAATGAATATTTATTTATAAAAACAAAAGATTGTCTTCAGACAACATTTTCTTAATTTTCAAATAAATACAGAAAGTAAAAATAAGACATTTTAGCTTTTACAGATACAGAAACAAGATAACAAAAAGGGTGCCACTTCAGCCTAAACGGCAGCCTAAACGGTTATGTTTACTTGGCCTTTTTCTTTGCACTGTGCTAAAACAGAACAGCACCTACTGTCCCTGGATTCAGGCGATTCCACCTCACCTCCAAAATGTGGCCAGTTGCACTGAATGAACAAGATTATCCCCGCAAGGCGCTGTAGTCGTGGAAATAAGTGATCTTGTTTCTCCCAGAAGGATAGCAGATTTTCCTCTGATGACTCCTCTAACTGAAACTTTGAACAGTAGGCTACTCAAGCGCTTCATCTATTATTTTGGGCGTCTCATCTTACTATTCTGCAAAGCCCACTCTCTGCTTTTTCGCTGGTCCACTGCCATGTCCCGCTACATCCACCCGCAATTAATCGTAATGTATTTTTTTTGTTACACGACCTGCCCGACCCACGGATTATCCGCAGGATATATCTGCGGATATAACCGCCATCCGCGCATCACTACGGAGCACACAGGAACGTGAACTGGCCCAGCCGGGACTCAAACCAGTGACCATCTTGCTGTGAGGCGACAGTGCTAGCTATTGAACCACCATGCTGCCCCTATAATGAACCAATCATTAAATACAATCAAGGTGGTAAATAAAGTGCTCAAGCACTTTTCCAGGAAAAACTGCTGCTTTCTTTGTCAGACAAACATCTTCAAGCACTACATTGTGACGATTTAATGATCTGGATGATGAAAAGCATGCTTCTTTGAAGAAGAAATCAGGATAGATTGTTCAACGGGGTGGTGAAACATTGCTGGACAGATTGGCCTGATTGGAAATTATGAGTGGATGTTTTGTATTTGGTCTAAAAATGGAAGCTTCGCTGGCTTCAATCAGTTGTTTGTGTCCTCCGTCTTGTTTTTCAGTTATTTTTAGTAACATTCGCTCAGCAAATACACCGAAAGAAAGTCTTTGATAGTGAGCTGCTGTCACATTGGCTCAATTTACACCTGCCAGTAACATTCATCACTTTCTTATACTCTGAAACCAATCATGCCAATATTAATACAACATATTGACCTAAATATACGGGCCAAAGATAACACACACGACGATCAAATGCTTTCAGAATACTAAAGGCTTTCCAAAAAACTGGCCACATGAAGAATTTGACAACGGTGTCAATGGCTTCCACATGAGAGGATACAAACCACTAATGAATCTCAGAGCAAATATATATATATGTTAAGCTATGAGTCTGCTGACCTGATGATGTGAAACAGACTAAAAATTATATTAAAAAGCCAATAAAACTAGTCAGTGAATGAATTCTGAAAGTGTGGGCTGTTCAAATGTGCCTTTCAGAAAATATTGTGACAATGCAGATGGTGGTATCGCATTATTTTACTAAAGAAAAATCCCTACTGGATTCACAATATTCAAGATTCATTAATTAATACTTAAAGTCTAGGCGTAAAGTCTAAAGCTCATGGCACAAAAGCATTTAGAGTGTTTAAGAGAAGACCTTAGTTTAGCCAATGATGTGCTTTAGTTAATTCCAATGACTGTAAAAAATATGGACGACGCGACAGCCCCTTTTCCCATTGAACGCCTTGAGGGCAAAACGCCTGCTTGACGGGCACAAACTGTCGCAAAAGACTGCTGAAATTGGAGCCTTGACATGCGCAGAAGGACTGTCTGATGGAGCCAGAGGAGGAGCCGCGAAAATGAGTCGAGCTTCCAACCAAAGGCTTTATGTAAAATCAACCACGCCCCCCAAACTTCTCAGCATGCGTTTGCTGTCATATCAACACAAATGGATGTAATAACGTTAACAAATATGAGGGTTTTATATATTCAATCGCGGCAGCTCCGGGCCGCAGCGCATAGCCTACTCGCGGCGTCGCCGGCTACTTCCGGCTCGCATGCGGCAGCGCCGGCTCACTCGGCCGCCGCATCTGGCTCGATTGACTCGGGCTGGAATCGGGCAGTGAGTCCAGGCATCCGGAGTAGGTCCAGCAGAGGTAGTCAGTCTGAGCTCTGAGGGGTAAGTCTCCGTCAGGCGAGAATCTAGCTGAAACTGGCTCGAGTGTATTTTGCTATCTGGGTGGCTAGGCGTACGTGTATCAGCAAACTAATAAAGCCCGAAAAAATCCCTGACCTTAGCGAATAAACAGTTTCCACCAGGATCATGTATGTCAGAAACTGTAGTTTACTGCTGAACTCATTTTGTCATGGTAAAATAACACGGAAATCGAATAATAACACTTCAGTCTCCTGCCGAAGCTCAGACGTGCTGCTTTGAGAAACTGTCAATCACAGCTGTCAATCACGATGACACGCCCAGCATTAAATTACTGCTAAAAACAAACTGTTTACAAAAATGAAGATCTGCACCTATTTCAGCACAATAACCAGTGCCTTAATCGACCAGAACCATCTTTCAGGACATTTTATTGCAAGTGTAATAAATTTTTTAATTTGGGCTCAAGTCTCCTTCATTAACACGGAGGAGGCGGGCTTTATGACTTGTACTGCAGCCAGCCCCCAGGGGGCGATCTAACGGCCGAGACCTTCACTTAAACGCAGGCTTGCGGCACACTTGGTTAATTCACATGACATGCTGTGATTTTCTGTAGCGCGATTTCTGACAGACTGCCATTTATTGTGAGTTGTTGCTAAATGCAAATGTAAAAGTCAATAAAAAACAAAATATCAACTCATGTCAAATCCACAAAAAAATCTGCAACATCACCTCTAGTATGATATAATGACATTCATTCATTTACTTGTCGTTTTAATTATCATAATGCATGCGGTAGAGGGTTAAAAACAGCCACAAGACTGACCAAAGTGCTGTACGTAAGACAGAGTAAAATATAGAGACAATTATAGAAACATAGAGGTAAAACCAAGAGAAACAACAGAAGAAATTTTAAAATAAAGCAACCGACAGAACTCCAGGGTGGTTCAAAAAGAAAAGATTCAACCACAACTTTGAAAATCTGCATTTAATTAAAGAAACATGATGGAACGAATTAATAATTAATCAATGTGAAGAGTACTTCAAGTTCATAGATGTTCAATATGATCTCCTCCAGACACTCGAGTGGCATCAACCCGAAAGTTGTGGAATTCTTTTTGAATCGCCCTGTATTATAATATTAATATTAAATAGCCAAAATGAACAGGTAAGTTTTCAAGAGTGATTTACAAATATATAGTGATGGTGCTGTTCTAATCTCAAGGGGCTAATTGTTTCACAACCACAGACTCACCATAGACAAAGCTCTGTTCTCTCTACGTTTCCTTCTGGACAGTTTTGTTCACTCAATCTTAAAGATCTTACGGGAGTATAAGACAGAATAGCTTTTTAAAGATAATTTGGGGATAGATTATGGAAGGATTTATACACTGGTAAAAGCACTTTAAAATCAATTCTAAATTGGATGGCTAGCCAATGGAGGCCCCTCAGAATGGGGGTGATGTGGTCATGTTTCCTGCTTTTATGAATGAATCTACCAGCGGCATTTTGGACCAATTGGACTAATTGTATGCGCGATTGGACCAAGAGTATGCGATTTAGAGATGTCACAGTAGTGCGTTACAGTAGTCTAACCATGAAGTAATAAAAGTGTGGCCAGTTATCCCTAGTGCAGTGTGATTTAAAAAGTGTTTGACAGCAAGCGGAGATGGAACCAATAACAAAACTGATATGTTTGTCCATTTTTAATATCTCATCAAAATTTTCGCCCAGATTTCACACACGAGAGGATCTGAAGGCAGATAAGCAGCCCACATCTAGGCACGTGGCCTGAGAGTTATCAGTAGGGTATCACTTCTGTCTTATTATTATTTAATCTTAAAGAATTGTGGGACAGCCAGATTCTAATCTCTTCTAGGCACCTTAGTTATCTGTGTCTCATCAGAATAGAAATAAAAAGACAGCCCATGACTTATTAGAATGGGCCATATCGTCGGCGCATTAGCCAAGTGGTTCGCGCACTGACATATGGTGCAATGGCATATCAAGGCACCCCAAGTTCGAATTCCGGCTCAAGGACATTTCCCAAACCCTATACCCCTCTCTCTCTCCCACTTCGCTTTCTGTCCTATGTAATAATGGCCTATCTAATAAAGGCACAAAGGCCAAAAATCTTTAAAAAAATAAACAAATAAAAAGAATGGGCCATATCAGTTCCATGACATCCATAAAAGGCAAAAAATATATACAATGGGAGTCAATAGGTACCAGTTTTCTAACATCCTTTGTGTTCAACAGAGGATACATTACATTACATTACATTTCTATGTCTACAATCCTTTTAAATAGCTATAACCCTGCCATTGGACATTCATTTTGATCAGGGGTGCCCAATCCTGTTCCAGGAGATCTACCTTCCAGCAGAGTTCAACTCCAACCCTGATCAAACACAACTGAACCACATAGGTAGGACCTGAAGGAGCACTTGTTAATTAAAGTCAGGTGTGTCTGATCAAGGTTGCTGCTGAACTCTGCAGGAAGGCAGATCTCCAGGAAAAGGATTGGGCACCCTGAGATTGTTTTGCAATAACGCATTCAAAATATGTACATGATTTTAGCATTCCAGGCCCACTTGTAAATAAATTGCTTCATTACAAAATAAAACTTAATATTATTTTTAAAGAGCAACTCCTCATTATGTGATGGTGAACGTGACAATATTACCCTATTTATTTTGACTTAATGGGCCTCTTATAATTAAAAAATAAGAAATGTTATGATATGCACAAATATATATGTACAGAATGACAATTCATATTAAATATATAATTTGAGAAGCACCAGGATTAACCACTGAAATCCTTCATTAAATTCATTTGACTTCATAACAAATAAAAACACACCAAAATGCATCAAAACTATTGATTAAAACATCCCTGATTAAATCTATGACTTTTTAGATATGTTTTATGCATGCCTGAATCGGTTGAATGCATTATGAAGCATAAGAATCCATTAATTGCTGTGATTTCAGGTCTACAGACAATACAAGCATTATATTTATTCAGAATCTAAATTGAGTGTTACCTGACAGGTTTCCGCTGCTTCAAAAGGTCCTTCAAGCTTTTTTCATAGTGCTCAGCTACAATAACCAGGCGCTCTGCAAAACAACAAGAGGATAATTCATAATAGAACTGACTCAGAATTTATGCAATCTTGATTTCGTCTGCTCTATTAGCTTAAAGGGTACCTGTTTTTAATGAATTATGTTTTTTTACAAAATGTAGAATAATTTTCCGATGTCCCTAGAGTGTGTATGTGAAGTTTCAGCTCAAAATACAATACAAATAATTGTTTATAACTAGCGGTGTAATGAATCACATATCTCAGGTTCGAATCACATGTTTTTTTAGCCATGGATCGGGCCATTTTTTAGATCTGCCAAAAAGGGCAGGAGAAAAATGTAATTTGCTTTCCAATGATTACAAATACAGAACTGCAAGACACTTTTGGTTTTAACAAACAGAACTTAGAACTTGTATATATATATATATATATATATATATATATAAAATGGAGAAACAATCAGCTAAATAAAATTAAATAGTAAAATATTCAGTATTGTGAAAAATTCACTGGTGCTACTGCTGTTGCTGATAACACTAAATGTAGAAATCTAAGATAATTTGTACAACCCATATTTATTTCAGCCTCATTTTCCAAAAATTATTCAGTTATTCAAACTTCATGTTTCATTGCTAGATGTCATTTTTGAAGAATTGTTCAGTGGGTTCATTTACATGGACACCAATTATCCGACTTTAATGCGATTACGACAATCCTCTGATTAAAAATATACCATGTAAACAGCGATTTTTGAAATGTTCCAGAATAAAAGTTAAAGTGCTGAACTGCATTTAAAATCAACATTACATGAAACTCCAAAGAATATGTGGATAGTGCGGTGACGCAATGACATTAATCGAATTATGTGCTATAACATGTAAAACGGGATCATGAAAGTAACACTCAAAGATCAACTCATGTAAGCACCTTAATCATATTATTGTCTTATTAGACTAAGGCAAATAATTCGATAACTGATGTCCATGTAAACCAGGCATGTCCAAACTTGGTGCTGGAGGGCCGGGGTCCTGCAAAGTTTAGTTCCAACCCCAATCAGACACACCTGGGTTAGCTAATCAAGCTCTTACTAGGCTTTCTAGAAATATCCTTGCAGGTGTGTTGAGGCAAATTGGTACTAAAATTTGCAGGACACCGGCCCTCCAGGACCGAGTTTGGACATCCCTGATGTAAATGTAGTCAGTGGCATATTTTTGATGACTGATTGGTTAAATAATGTAATTGCTGCCAACAACTTTCATTTTTTAATGTTGTTAAATGCATATGGGGCAGTGTGCGGGCACAGTGGGTAGTGCTGTCGCCTCACAGCAAGAAGGTTGCTGGTTCAAGCCTCAGCTGGGTCAGTTGGCATTTTGTGTGGAGTTTGCATGTTCTCCCCGTGTTGGCTTGGGCTTCTTCTGGGTGTTCCAGTTTCCCCCACAAGTCCCACAACATATGCGCTTTAGGTGAATTGGGTTAGCTAAATTGTCCGTAGCGTATGTGTGTGAATGATAGAGTATTGGTGTTTCCCATTGATGGGTTTCAGTTGGGCATCAGTTGCATAAAACAAAAGCTGGATAAGTCCATGGTTCATTCCGCTGTGACGACTCCAGATTAATAAACGGACTAAGCCTAAAAGAAAATGAATGAATGAATAAATGTATATGACAGTGATTTTAATCTTTACCATAAACATCAGTGGTTTTACCTAAACTATAAACTTTCAATTCAATTCAATTCAATTCAGCTTTATTTGTATAGCGCTTTTACAATGTAGATTGTGTCAAAGCAGCTTCACATAAATGGTCATAGTAACTGGAACAGTGTGGTTCAGTAACTGGAACAGTGTGGTTCAGGTTTTAGTGTTTAAGTTCAGTTCAGTTCAGTTTAGCTCAGTTCAGTGTGATTTAATCATTACTGAGAGTTCAAACACTGAAGAGCCAATTCATCGATGCGTAGCTCTACCAATCCTGAACCATGCGAGCCAGTGGCGACAGCGGAGAGGGAAAAAAAAGAAAACTTCACCTGATGGGAGTGAAGAAAAAAAACCTTGAGAGAACCAGACTCAGTTGGGCACGACCATTTTAATTTCTCCGCTGGCCAAAATTCTTGTGCAGAACTTCATTCGTCGTGGTTTAGGCTGGAAGATAGCCTCAGCGAAGACTCGTCAAAACTGTTGTCAATCTACTTCTGTGTCATTTGACTTCATAACTACCTTACTAAAGACTCTTCTGGATTTTTGCGTTGTCAGATTTGAATCGAGCGATTTGAAGGAATAATAAACATATGCAAACCACATTCATTTATAATTTCTGGTGCGTGGGTGTTGAGGTCCCGATCTTTTAATGATTAATCCTGTAGCCTACACTGAATGCACTAATGCAAGATAAACAAGTAGGGACAGAAAACCCCTTTAATGAAACCCACAACGTCCTGAACAACCTACCACAACTTTCTCCATCATCATCGTCTTCATCATACTTTACAAGAAAGCCTGAATGCTTATATACATGTGATTTGAATGGCGCGAGAGGCGATCTCTCTCTGATAGTTACAAATTTAGGATTAATCTACCAATAAAAATTGTATTAATTTGCGGGGCACCTGCATTCTGAGCCATGGGTTGTAATCCATATGAATCACGGATCAACTGTGATAAGTTACACCCCTATTTATAACTGTCTGAAACTGCCTCTTATAGGTTTTGATCCAAATTGAGCCGTTTTGGTGACTGTCGCTTTAAATTCAAATGAGATTGTGCTCTTTTCAAAAGAGGGCGGAGCTACGAGCGCCTCTGCCTCAGCATAGAGGCAGATTCAAAACCAGATTGACATGATCTCTGTGAAGAACTGAAAATGCCATAAGAAGTGACTGAAAAGTAAGTCATCTATGGAGACTCCAGTGTCCATTTAAGCCGAATGAAAATAAATGAATGAACTGTCTGTAAAGCTACCTTTAGGCACTATTAGAAAATAAGGTTTAATATTTATTATTATTGTTATTATTAGTATTCTTGTTCTCTATTCACATAATCCAAAAAAGAAAATCTTGGCTACCCAAACAAAAACATCTTCAAAAGTGACTTTAATAACTCGCAACTCTTTAATAACGATGAATACTGCCTCCAGCGAAAAGATGACCTGGATTCAAGGTCATTTCTCAAACATGAAAGAACGTTATAACGCTAATAAATCTGCATAATGTCATCAGGAACTTCAAACACATGTGTTTGCATCCATCTCAAAGGGGTGTCTTTCTCATAGGGGGCACATGCGTGATACCAAGCGCATCTCGCATGATAAACACTGAATCAACAGCCATAAAGCAGCTTAAGATAAAAAGAATCATCCTTGCATGCAGATTCCACACAAATGTCATTAAACCACTGAGATAAAAATCACAAGGATAAAAGAGAAGAAAATTACAAAGAGCACTAGAAAGCAGAACCAAGCATTAAAAACAAGAAGGGAAAAGGACAAGATTCGATAAGTTGGAAAAAAAAAGTAACTTGCAAGATGGCCAACAGACAACTATAAAACATTTTAATACATAAATAAAAGGGTCAGTGCTGCAAGTTCCATTGTGCGATTTCAATTTCAGACATATATGTGATTGGATGTACTAATGGCAGGGTTCAACACTAAGGATTTTTTCCAACTGGCCCGATCGGGCAAGTGGTTTAGATTTTTACTCGCCCTGCCAAAATGTTCACTGGCCCCACCAAGAAATAAAAAAAGTGGCCCCATGTCATTATTAAATAATAAAATTATTAAATATGCCAAACATAATTTTAAACAGTTTTTATTAATTCATTTATTCAACTGAATTAATCAGTCTTAAAAAAAAAAAAACATTGGCTAGAAATATGCATTCATTCAGTTTCTTTTTGGCTTAGCTGCCTTATTTATCTGGGGTCACCACAGCAGAATGAAGCGCCAACTTATCCAGCACATGTTTTATGCAGCGGATGCCTTTCCAGCTGCAGCCCATCTCTGGAAAACATCCATACACACTCATTCACACACATACACTACGGACAATTTAGCCTACTAAATGTACCTGTACCGCATGCCTTTGGACTGTGTGGGAAACCGGAGAACCCGGAGCAAACCCATACGATCGCAGGGAGAACATGCAAACTCCACACAGAACCACCAACTGACCCAGCCGAGGCTCAAACCAGCGACCTTCTTGCTGTGAGGCGACAGCACTACCTACTGCGCCATCGCATCGCCAGAATTATGCATTTTAGACTCCAATTAGAGAGAAATACCAGATGAACCAGTATTGTGCCAAGAAACGCACCCTGTCATAAATTGCGCCCCCTCTAAAAAGTGCATATATTAATTTAAATTGATTTAAATTAATAATAGAGTTACGACAACTAATGACAGTGACTGCGGTGAGCTCCATGAGTGGAACCCTTACCTTACAGAAGATATATATTTAAATAAATAAATAGATTTAATTTAAATAGAATACTGAATATATTAATTAAAGTGAATTGTTTAATGTGTGGTTTAGTTGAAAACGACAACAATTTTATGTTTTTTGGTTTGTTTAAACCACACCAAAATTTTAGAAACAGGCTCATTACACCAGTCTATAGCCTACTGCAGTCAGTATTTTTCATTCATTTGTACACCTAGTTTAAAAATGCAAATGTGTCGGCGCAACAGCCTAGTGGTTAGCGCGCCGACATATGGTGCAATAGCACGTCAGGGCATCGCGAGTTTGAATCCCGACTCGAGGACATTTCCCTACTTTATCCCCTCTCTCTCTCCCACTTCGCTTCCTGTCTCAATACTGTCCTATCTAATAAAGGCCAAAATGCAAATGTAATACTTGTTCTTGCTCGATGCATCAAAATAATCATATTAGCCTACATTTTATTCAATTATGGCCTCTGATTTTCTTTTTAATGTAGACTGAGGATGCTAATAAAAGTCTAATAATTGCATTTTACCGCAGGGGTCCATTTCTATGCACAGCACCGGGACTGAATAGTCAAATCATGAAGCAGATTAGTGTTGATCTTTTTTTCGAAGTGTCAGTGCAAAAATGAACAAAACAACAGGCCTAATACAAAATATTATAAGATTAAAATATGGAAAAACTATCAGAGGGTAATTTCGCTCAATTTTCCTAACGGGTAATCAGCTCTCGGTAAAACTCCAGCATCCTTTCACTTTCATATTCGACATGAAACGCACATTTAATAATGTAATGTATTTTTTATTTAATGCCATGTCAGCAACCAAGGCTATTTTCATGGCAGGAACATTTTAATAATAAATATATACAATTAAAAATCAACAAGCAAATGAATACATAAATTAAATAAGATTTTTAGTGTTAATACATGATAAAAAATCTAAAATATTTCATGGTGTCACTTTAAAATGTCCTTAAGAAAGTTAATTTCATGAAAAAGTCTTCTGGAATCAGGACAGTCCAGTAAAATGTGTTTTATAGTAAGGGGAGTTGTGCAGCACAAACACCTTGAGGTTTTTTTGAGGTCACCTTGAAGCAAAAAACACCATGGGTTATTCTTGTATGCCCAATAAGACATCTGGTAAAAACCACTTGATCAAATCTAGTCTTAAAATGTCTTAAACGTCTGTGTGAGATGAAACACACATTTATCAATAAGAATGATGACATCCCCCCTACACATAATTCTCTCTTCATATGGCTATTACACAACCATAGTACACTGTGATATAGCCTGGTTCGTTAGTTTGTTGGACCGTTTTGTTTTCTCACTACAATCGATCCGCTCCAGTTCGTTTTAATCAAGCTGAGACCACCTCATCCAAGCGATCTCGGACCACTTAATTTGGCGAGGATCTGAGCGTGATTGGGGGATTCACAAATGCCAGATGATCTGTGCTTGCTGGGCAAATGAGACAGGTTCTAAAACAAACGTCTGGGTGTGAAAGCACCCTGTTTTTCCACGCAATTGACAAACAGTCGCAGCCAAGTTGAACTTGACAAGACAAGGCCTGAGAGGCAAGGCCCGAGTGTCTTGCACGCTGGCACCGGGCAGTCCTTATTGACGAGCCCTGAATGGCCCAATCTTATTTAAACACACATGATGATTTTCCAGTCGATTCATGAAAAAACTGCAATAAAGCAAGAGAGTGATCGTACCGTGCTTTCCTCTGCTGATGTCCACATATTGGCACAGTCTGGGATGGGTGATGGTTTTGAGGATCTGGAAGCGTCCCAGGATCTTGATGGAGTTTGGGGTGAGAGGAAGCCCATTGCTGCCGCACACATCGTGAGGAAGAGGAGAAGCGAAGAAGGTGGAAGCCCCCAACTCGGCATCTCTGAGGGGCTGCATGACTGGTGCTCAAAACACACACTGGCAAGAGGGAGGGATTGTAGAGTTACAATAGAGTTATTGTTAAGTTAGTAAACTACTTATGTAAATTAATCTGTAAAACAATTTGAGTTAATATGCCTTGAATGTGAACAGAACAACAATTATTACTATAGTAAATAAAGTATATCATGGAAAGACTATCCTATATGTGGATAGCACAACAATTATTACTATAGTAAATAAAGTACTGTATATGGTGGAAAGACTATCGTATATGTGGATAGCACAACATATATTATTACTATAGTGAATAAAGTATAAAGCGGAAAGACTATCTTATATGTGAATAGTGCAACAATTATTTCTATAGTAAATACAGTATATCATGGCAAGACTCTTATATGTGAATGTCACAACAATTATTACCATAGTAAATACAGTATATCATGGAAAGACTCTTATATGTAAATAGCACAACAATTATTACTATAGTAAATATAGTATATCATGGCAATACTATTATTTGTGAATGTCACAACAATTATTACTATAGTAAATACAGTATATCATGGCAATACTCTTATATGTAAATAGCACAACAATTATTACTATAGTAAATATAGTATATCATGGCAATACTATTATTTGTGAATGTCACAACAATTATTACTATAGTAAATACAGTATATCATGGAAAGACTCTTATATGTGAATAGCACAACAGTTATTACTATAGTAAATACAGTATATCATGGAAAGACTATATTATATGTGGATAGCACAATTATTACTATAGTAAATAAAGTATATCATGGAGAGATTATCTTATATGTGTATAGCAGAACAATTATTACTATAGTAAATAAAGTATATCAAGGACGGAAATACTTTCTTATATGTAAATAGCACAACAATTATTACTATAGTAAATACAATATATCATGGAAAGACTAACTTATATGTGAATAGCACAACAGATATTACTATAGTAAATACAGTATATCATGGAAAGACTATCTTATGTGCATAAATACTCATTATGAGAACTCAATAAGCTAAACCAGTGGTAGGGAACCTATGGCTCTTTGACCAAATATACGTGGCTCTCCTGCTGTCTTCTTTCAATAATATTTTATAACAGTTTATAAAATTGTAACCATCACTAGAAATCAGTTTCCAATCGATAATACAATTTAAATCCCTTTTTAATTGTATTTCTTTAGAGCAAAATGAATAAGAACTCAGCTAACAATGAAAGGACGTTTCAACCAATCTCTGTGTGTGGCACTATGGATAAACTTCAATTGTGACAACAATAAAAAAGCAAAACAACTTGCGTTTTTATGATAATCTTCTTGTGTATGTAAATTCAAACAACATCCATGAGTGGTGATGGCGAAGAGAAAAACGTTCTATAAATTGTCCTTTTTACATTTATGGATTTGCTCAACATGTGATGCTTCATTTGTTTATTTTTGAGTTGTGCATGGACATAAATAAATAGAGGTAAAGTTGGTTTTATATTCACACATTCGGAGTTTCCCCTTAATAATATAATTTTATAAAAGTATTATTTGCAAACTAAATAGCGAAATCATTTAAGCAGCCAATGACTATCAAAGTACAACATTGTTCACAGTCAAATAAACAGAGCTAATGTTGTTTTCAAGTCATACATGCTAATTCCGATCGAATATTCAAAGTAACATGGTAAACAATACAGAATGAACGAATGTGCGAATATAAAACCAACTTTACTTCTATCATAAATAAAGGTTTTGTTTGAACCTGTATTATATATAGAAGTAATCAATCGTCTTGACTATGTCGCTTTATCGAGTTGCTACCATTACAAATTTGATTAAGAAGTTGGACAGGTGTACCTAATAAAGTGGCCGGTGGCTCTTTAAAAAAAATAAAAAATCTTAAATCATAAATGGCTCTTTGCTGAAAAAAGGTTCCTGACCCCTGAGCTAAACCGATAATATTTTCGAATATTAACTGAAATTATGCAATTTCTATGACTAATATGGGTAAATATAACTTTAATAAAGCATAAACTGCTACGACAATTAGTGTTACTATAGGAAAACTGATGTAAGACTTTAATGTATGTCATTAAACATAAATTATGAGAACTCGACGAGCTAAACCAATATAACATTACAGTATTTCGTTCACATTAATTAGCAATTTCTGAAACTAATTTGGGAATTAAGTATTCAGCATATCATATAGTAAAAATGTGTTAAATTGTGCAACATTATGCTAATCCAATAATACACTACAATACTGAACTGAAATAACGTTTTCTAAAGGCTTTCAGTAAGCATATCTTGAATACAACAAATATAGTGACACCAATTATTGCAGCAAAACTGATTTAAGACTATAAGGAATGTCAATAAATACAAATGAGCAGACCTCAACAAGCTAAACCAGTCATGTTTTACTATATTAAATTGACATATAACGTTACTGTACACACACACACACACACATTTGACATATCTGCATGCTTGTCGTTCACTCGTGCTTTGAACAAACGCAACATAAAATCACCAGCATACCTTACTGTCTAATAAGAAAAACTGCTCCATTTGATTCACGAGTCCATTTATGATATTACACATACAAATTTGTGATTTTGAGAGATCGGTTGACTCTTCCGGCGACTGTAAGCAGCTGAAACGCGTGCGTGACCTGTTTCTCTCGCGCCAGATAGCAGCTGAACGACGCGTGACCGAGACGTCATCATCGCTCGCCGCCGCTGAGGGACGAGTGTGTGGCGTGTGGTATTATGGTATTATAGAAAAGAGTCACACGGTTTCAGTTTTATGTGAGTATAATAGTTCGCATTTCTGCTCAGTTTATGAGTTATGTTTAATTGGTATCTGTAATGTAGCGTATTTGGAACGGAATAAGAGTTGTTGACGCGTTTTTGTGCTATGAGGACTGGAATGCAGGGGTGATAGCGTTCCGGCACCACGCCGGATTTCCGGCGTACTGTGGCTGCGGGGGGAAAAAAAATCAGGTTCACGGATATTGATCTGTCATTTCTCTAGATTCACAGAATTCACTCACTGCTGAAAGCGCCGGATTGGTTTTTATTAAGTGCCATTTTGTGTGCTCCTGAATCATCTTTTGAGTGTAGACGCCATGTAAATAAAAGATTAATTGTGTAATTTAGAGAGCTTTATAAATTATAACGGATCTTTGTGAGATCTCTATGAACTAAGATTAGTGACGCTTTTTAGTGATAATAAGAGGAGCGTGCTTTGCACTTTCCAGGCTATAACGTTAATCCATTCAGAATTTGTATGAAACTTTCGTTTTCGGCACATATACGCTGATATGTTTTGGGAATGACATCTGCATATTTACGCTGGGTTTATTCTCGAAATAACGGTGAAGAAATAGACGGGACAAAAATATATTTCCCCCTTCTCCTTAAACAACTTAGTGTTTCAGCTATGAAATAGTTCAGTTTTGTATGTATCCTTATGGCAAAGTGTTTATATTTAGTTTCGTTTTTTATTCAGCTTATTTAGAAAAACGTTTGGAGCATTTTTTATTCGTTAAAAATAAGTTTTTTTTAACGAACAGCGCCCAGCGGAAGACCATCATTGTCTGTTTGATCCGTTTGCCTTCTCAGATCATCACGACTTGCCTAAAATAAAAGATATAAAACAGTTCAAGTATAAAACAATGGTAGCTTAAACGTTAAAGAATGTGTGCTATTAGGCGCATAGTTTGCTTATAAAAAGCTTGCAGGACATCGAGGCGCCAGAGCAATCACTTGCATTTTTTCAGTGGGAGCAATTTAAAGTTATCCGTCATTTTTGCTCTCAAAGTACGAGTAATACATCAAAAAACGTTACAGCGTTTTTATAAAATAAAGAAAACCAAAATTATGCGCTTTCTGACGTCTGGTTTTTGAACAGGAGCGCTTAACAAAATGAAGCAAAATGTATATGCCTCACAGACATAATAAATATATTTATAGAAAGCTTTAAATGATTACTTAACGAAATAAAACAAATCGAAAACAAAAAAAACTCCTTCATGTAATCCGTAAAGATGAATTTCTCTCTAAAGGCGAGTCCAAGTGGAGATTGCCAGTCAGGATCTTTGCGACACTGACTCAGAATAAGTTTATTAATAAATAATTAAGATATGTCCTTACTCTTTCCTCGACACATTCATTGTTATTTGTTTTTGCCGGTGCTTGGGGCGAGTTTTAGCTTATTGTGTGCGCTTGAACGCGGATTCACAGTAGCAGTTTTAACATGGAGTGACACGACATCTGACGTACAGATGACACTGGCACATGCCACTGAGTGTATAGTGACACTTTCGGTGGCACGTCCGGTTTTCCACTGTCATGTGTCACTCGCTAGTGGCATGTGTAGTGACCTGTGTCACTCAGTGTCGCGCTGCATGTCACTGACATTAATTATGACATTAATTAACACGAGCAAAACCATATTTAATCATTACGCGACTTTTAACCTAATTTATCGCGTCGCAAGTTAGTTTATTTGCTGAGCTACTCCACGATGTTTTAATTTAAACGCATTTATTTTGTGTATTCGTAGACATACTTCCGTACGTAATATAGTCATTTGAGTCATGTCAGTCAAATTTATTGTGGCATGCTTATGTATGGGAGGGGTTACACTTATCTGTTGTACTGTATATTATTGCATCCTGGCAGTTCCTTTGTTCCCTACAATATGGACTTCTCTATGTTTTTAATTAATTCATTTATTTTATTATTTAACTTATTTTCATTTTAAGGTATTTTAAATAATATCCTTTAAAAAGTTATAATAAAATGCATGTTGAAAACTCATAACATATATGCATGTAAGATAACAGGTGTCATTTGCCTAATGATTTTTAAATATTAAAGCAAAGAGACTTATAAGATTAATGTGCTTATAACGTTCTTATACTGACACCTACTGGCACATGTCACAAGATCACTGACACTGGCATGTGTCACTGACATTACTGGCATGTGTCTAAAAAGAGCCGCTTGACAATAACGATGATCAGGGTTACACATAGGCTGTTAATATATTTGGGCCCAGGGGCCCACAAGTTATGTGTTAAAAGTGCGGTGCATACATAGTACCCCCACCCCTACTCACCTCAGGGGCAAGGAAAAAAAGTTCAGGCTCAGGAATTTTTTCCACTATCACCCCTGGGAATGTGAAAGTGACAGTCAGCAGTGTTTCTATATTAGGGTATTACGGATATAAAAGGGATTATTATCAATATGAACATTACTGTAAGGCACATTATGGTCATATATTGATAGGTCTGCACATTTGATTTTTTTTTAAGCTGGTTTATCATAATTTATGACAAGAATAATATTAATATATGTATATTCCTGTTCGCATAATGTTACATTTGAACTATTATGCAAATAGTTTTGAAATGAATAATTTTCTAATAATATCCTTCACCATCACGTGCAGTTTATGGCCTGTCAAACAGGTTCATCTTTGAATAAGTCAACACAAATAAAAGATATGGACTGAATACAATATAAATATGGTTTCAGTTTAGCACTGAACATAATCATAATGTATATTGTGCAAAGAGTAATCTTATTAATGTCATATAACGTGATTATACACAGTTGTACTCAGTTCACTTGGCTGAACAAGCCCTACTTTACAAATCACAAATTAGTGTTAAATATTAGTATCATAAATATAATGATAAAATTCTATTATCAAAATAGAACGACTGTTTAAAGATTTGAATAATATTTACATAATGTATTAGTATAAATATATATATATATATATATATATATATATATATATATATATATATATATATATATATATATATATATATATATATATATATATATATATATATACATTTCTAAACATAATAGTTTAATTTCAGCTGGAATAAAATCAGTTTTTAATTTTTTACAAGCCATGGTCAATATTATTACCCCCTTTAAGCAATTTTTTTTTCGATAGTCTACAGAACAAACCATCATTAAACAATGACTTGCCTAATCACTCTAACCTGCCTAACTAACCTAGTTAAGCCTTTAAATGTCACTTTAGCTGTATAGAAATGTCTTGAAAAATATTTATTTAAATATTATTTACTGTCATCATGGCAAAGATAAAATAAATCCGTTATTAGAAATGAGTTATTAAAACTATTATGATTAGAAATGTGTTGAAAAAAATCTTCTCTCTGTTAAACAGAAATTGGGAAAAAATTCAAATAAACAGAGGGCTAATAATTCTGACTTATATATATATATATATATATATATTGCAAATAGAAATACAGACCAATAAAAATATAAATCGAAAAAGAAATATAAACCAATATTTTTGTAACATGAACAATTACTATTGCTTAAAATTATTCTTAATACAGTGCAAATATTAAGATAATATTATTCTTCTAAAGTAAATGTGTCAAGTACAAATTTACCCACACCACCGTTACAATCCTAAAGCTAAATTATTGTGATTTGATTGGGGCTCTTCTTCGTTAATAAAGCGCTGGCTCATTGTGCGGCACGAGTGCATGGTTGTTTTCCCCTCACCATTCAGATCTACATGAAAGTGACAGCTGCTCCTGTAAATGTTACTTTCGCTGGTGTCGGATGTAACACATGGCCTTAAATGTCTTTCACAAGCACTTCAGACGTTTTGGAGGTTTCTGACACACATGCCGTTGTGTTTTCTTGGATGCATTTCATGGATTTTATATTCGTTTCATGGCTAGAACTCACTTTTATTGGCTGTCATATGACAGCGATGACCACCGCTTCAGGCCATTATGAAAAAAAAGTGACAACTGAACTTTTTTGGAAGCGTTCTTTGGTTCCCGGGACTCGTTTTCAGGGGTTATGCAAATGAAAACAGTCCTGTCATGGTGCTCATAAATTCTTCCACCACAGGCCCATTTAAAGCAGTTCAAGAACTTCAAAAACAAGAGACTTTGATCCACGATATTATCAACTCCAGCTTTTTTGTGTTTCTAATTTCCTCATCTGAACTCTTTTGTTTTCATCCTGCGCCAGCTGTTGTTTTCCAGCACCACCCTGCACTATGTGTTATGATGTGTTCTTCTCTTTTCCTACGCCTTGTAAAAATTCCCTTAGTCCTTTTTTTTTGCCATTGGATGAGCCGTAGCCAAATGTGTAATGTGTCCGTGTTCCTTCAGCAGCTGTCTCTCAACCCAATGGGAACTGTTGTTTGATCCGTCGTGGAGCCAAAGAGGATTCCTCAATCAAAACACTTTTATAGTGGCGGCGGGCGACAGTGACGCAATTACGTCCCATGGTGGACATGAGAACACACACATTTAGATGCCATATGGTTTGATTTCGTCCTCTTCCTCCTCATTGTTTTGACCTGGAGATTGGCTGGGTCTAAAAGTACTGAAGTGAGAACCCAAAACAGGGTTTGCGGGGATTAGGATGGAGAATGTATGCTTTGATGAGGTTTTCACATGCTGTTTGGCGTCTAGCCGATCTATTGTGGAGCATCTGGCTGGTGTCAGACGTTTCATTATAATTTCCCTTTCATGGAAAGGGATTAGGACAGAAAGTTGGCCACATATCGGTATAAATTACAAATTAAAGCACCGTGTAAAGTATGCCAAAACACCTCATGTTTTTTTGTTTTTTTTTATGTGCACCAGAGATCTTAAAGATCTCA